TAGTTTGTGTGTTGCTCCGTACATCAATTAGTGGTGGATCGTATGTACAGGCTGATGTAGTCAGAGTAATGCAGCAGTATAAAACCAATCTAATTAAAATCAGATCATATGCCCCAATGCGATGCCTCTCGTTGTCAAGGTGTGAAGACTGCCTATTATAAATAAAAAATGCCCTGGTTCAGATGTCGGCTTTCATTCATTTATCTACTAACTCAATTCTGAAATTTCAATTTAGCAAAAGAGAACCTCGAGAGAGTACAAATATACCCTTGAAAGTAACCAACTTCAATGGTTTGATTGATTGTTTGTTTGTTGTTTAACGCCGCACTCAGCAATATGACGGCAGTCTGTAAACAAGTATTTGTCACAGAGTGACGAAATATCCCCCGCCATATACACCATAGTACCAAATATGAAGACAATCCAGCGATTAGTTCTTGAGATATTGTGGCAACACCGTTTTCCAACTCCAAAAACAGATTTGCCTGCTGTGACCTTGAAAATGGGGTCAAGGTCACCAAATCTGACAGGTGTATGCGGTGTCTGTATATACACTATACTTCCAAATATGAAGACAATCCAGCGATTAGTTCTTGAGATATCGCGGCAACACCGTTTTCTAACTCCAAAAGCAGATTTGCCTGCTGTGACCTCGAAAATGGGGTCAAGGTCACCAAAACCGACTGGTGTCTGCGGTGTCTGTATATACACCATAGTTCCAAATATGAAGACAATCGAGAGGTTTAGTTCTTGAGATATCGCGGCAACACCGTTTTCCAACTCTAAAAGCAGATTTGCCTGCTGTGACCTCGAAAATGGGGTCAAGGTCACCAAAACCGACTGGTGTCTGCGGTGTCTGTATATACACCATAGTTCCAAATATGAAGACAATCGAGAGGTTTAGTTCTTGAGATATCGCGGCAACACCGTTTTCCAACTCTAAAAGCAGATTTGCCTGCTGTGACCTTGAAAATGGGATCAAGGTCACCAAAACCGACTGGTGTCTGCGGAGTCTGTATATACACTATAGTTCCAAATATGAAGACAATCCAGTGTTTAGTTCTTGAGATATCGCGGCAACACCGTTTTCCAACTCCAAAAGCAGATTTGCCTGCTGTGACCTTGAAAATGGGGTCAAGGTCACCAAAACCGACTGGTGTCTGCGGTGTCTGTATATACACCATAGTTCCAAATATGAAGACAATCCAGTGTTTAGTTCTTGAGATATCGCGGCAACACCGTTTTCCAACTCTAAAAGCAGATTTGTCTGCTGTGACCTTGAAAATGGGATCAAGGTCACCAAAACCGACTGGTGTCTGCGGAGTCTGTATATACACCATAGTTCCAAATATGAAGACAATCCAGTGTTTAGTTCTTGAGATATCCCGGCAACACCGTTTTCCAACTCTAAAAGCAGATTTGTCTGCTGTGACCTTGAAAATGGGATCAAGGTCACCAAAACCGACTGGTGTCTGCGGAGTCTGTATATACACCATAGTTCCAAATATGAAGACAATCCAGTGTTTAGTTCTTGAGATATCGCGGCAACAAACAGGTGGGACGTACGGACGGACGGACGGACGGACGGACGGACGTACGGACGGTCGTGAATACTATATCCCCCGCTTCGCGCTTTCGCGCGGCGGGGGATAATAATCAAGTTTGAAACAGTCAATCCAGTGATTGACATCATGAGCATCGATCCACGCTATTGGTATACATGACATGCAATGACAGGACAAGTCAGCGAGCCTGACAACCCAATCACGTTAGTCGCCTAAGCACTGTCGCCTTTTACAGGAAGCATGGGTTGCTGAAGACCTAGTCTACCCCGGATCTTCGCTGGTCCCTTTTCAATGGGGATGCAATGATACTCAGCAAGGCAGCAGGGGCAACAGACACCATTGGTCATATCCAACTAGTCTGCAACTCATTTCGGACAAGTGGTTGTGTGAAATACAATAGATTTTGGGAGGAAAATAACTGGTCCATCTAGATTTTCACTAGTCTCAGACTAAGGCCATGTCTATCCCCGAGTTAAAGCAGGATGTGCAAAATACCTATGACAATATAACCTTGATTGTTCATTCAGAATACCCTGATCATATTAATGTTTTAGATACACTCACTCATACCCAGAATTTACAAGCATCAATGCTGACTTGTTAACTAGAATTTTAACCTGACACAACCTGTAATGGACGTGTCCACAGGTCTTCATGCAGTGAGGAGTGAGTATGGTTTTACACCGCTTTTAGCAATATTCCTGCAATATCACACCGGGGGACACCAGAAATGAGCTTCACACATTGTACCCATGTCGGGATTCGAACCCGGGTCTTCGGCATGACGAGCGAACGCTCATTGAGTGAGGAATCGTATTGGAGTATAAGATCTGATTTAACAAGATTATATTTGTATTCAACAGTTTGTAAAATTAAATTGTGTGGGCCCCTGGACGCTAAATACATTGAGTATGGTAACACTAGAATTCAGGTACATCCTCTACACAGCATAGGGAGTTCCTCTCCCTATCACATGGAATTCTTGATATATGTCAATAAAGTGGAATCATCTCAACTATTTCATTGTTAACATTAATATAAAATATGTACATTTGTATACCAGTACTAAAATGTGTGTAAAGAATTGACATAATAATCTATAAGGTTAACAAACAATGAAAATATCTTCAACGATAGCACTCAACTTACAATTTTCATTAAACTACAATACACATTTTTTGGCTTTTCATACACAAAACTTCGATAAAAACAGGAAATGTCATGCCTAAGGGTGTAAGTCAGACTGAGGCTATTTGTCACCATGGTAACCAAAAAATTGTCTTAACAGACCACAAATTTCTATACAAACAGGTATATTTCACAAAATACCCTCTCAGGTAAAAGAATAATTTGTGTAGACATTCAGATTAGTCTCAGCACAAGAGGAAGTGACACACTGAAGCAGTGACAGATAATATGGAGGATTTTCTGATAATATTGGATGAGCAGATCTTTATGGAAAAAATATGTCTGATGAAAGTTGGTATAAATGGCTGTGTAGGGTGTTATAGGATATAACTGATAGCTGAATACATAGAATCCGATCCCTCCCAACCTGACAACTGTGTCAGCAGGCAGATCCATGCCCAGTGAGGATAGCACCAGCTGTACAGTGCAGTCACTTCAACACACTTGTAACAAACTCACTCACATCTATCAACTCTAGTACATCACGCCACTCGCAGTACTGATAATTGTTTCAACTAACAAACAGGATTGATTCTCAGGGAGAATACCAGAGCTCAATAAAAAAGCATTATTTTTCTGTTTGGAGAAAAAACAAGTGTTTTTACAATTGCATGTCAAACAGGAGACCACCCTTCTGCACCTATTTCTAAATTCCACTTCATGGGAAGCAATTGTTTTATTGCTTGTATCCTTCCCATAAAATGCATTTCACTACAGCCATAAGGATGATTTTCCCATCCATTGTATGCAATATAGCACATATCGGGGTCAAAGTCAGTATACCCAATCCATTGTATGCAATATAGCACATATCGGGGTCAAAGTCAGTATACCCAATCCACTGTATGCAATATACCACATATCGGGGTCAAAGTCAGTATACCCAATCCACTGTATGCAATATACCACGTATCGGGGTCAAAGTCAGTATACCTAATCCATTATATGCAATATACCACATATAGGGGTCAAAGTTACAATACCCCACCTTGACCACCTGTAATGAAGGTGAAGGTAGCAGCTGGCTGATCCTTGTCCACACTGACAGACAGAAAATATTTGATATATAATATAATCTTATCATAACAGCTCATAATCTGAACATATTAACTGGCATAAGTTATTATCAAGGTCATCACCAAGGTCATCACTTAGGTCAATATTGAAAATTAAGACCAAGGTCATCACCCAAGGTATTACTAAGGTCATCACTTTGGTCAGTATTGATGTTAAACACCAAGGTCATTACTAAGGTCACAACCATGGGTGTCACGATATGCTTACATACCGTACTGATACCCACACTGCAATACTGGAGTCATGGTCTATGTATCATGATACTTAATTTGTGCCACTTTTCATGAAAGTCTCCATATTCCACGTGAAGTGGCGTACAAAAACTTGCTGTCAACAAGACTGTTTTACTCACATGACTGGTTAATTGAGGCTCTTTCTAACAGTATAGCGCAATCCAATTCTGACTGTTTTACTTACATGACTGGTTAATTGAGGCTCTTTCTAACAGTGTAACGCAATCCAATTCTGACTGTTTTACTTACATGACTGGTTAATTGAGGCTCTTTCTAATAGTATAACACAATCCAATCCAACTCTTTGTTTCCTTACAATTAGGAAGGTAATGCTAGCCAATGTAGTTATCAGGCCAGATTTTTGTAAAACATCGAGAATAACACTGTTGAAAATTGACAAATTGAATCGATAAATGGGTAGGCATATCCACATGTATCATCAGGAGTAAGTTTGCAATGTATCGATACATCTAGCCATCACTATATAGCACACTACGTAGTTGTGAGGACGTCTAAGGCTCGTCCATCCAATGATGTCTTCTTTGTCTGTGATTCCTGGTCTATGGACACATACTATAGCTACAGTATACTTCCTGGTGTGTAGCACTCTGATAACATGGGTCCAGCCATGGTATGAGATTCTCAACTCCAGAAACTTCCTAACTCCTGTTGTATTGCAGTCTGAAGCAAAATGTGTGTCTCCCAGTCCGTGGTCTGGCTGTCTGTGTCTGGCTCTCAGTCCGTGGTCTAGCTGTCTGTGTCTGTCTCTCAGGCTGTGCTCTAGCAGTCTGTCTCTCAGTCCGTGGTCTGGCTGTCTGTGTCTGTCTCTCAGGCTGTGCTCTAGCAGTCTGTCTCTCAGTCCGTGATCTGGCTGTCTGTGTCTGTCTCTCAGGCTGTGGTCTGGCTGTCTGTGTCTGTCTGTCTGTCTGTCTGTTTGTAAGGGTGGTGTTGGAATAATTGGAGAGGAATCTGTTGTGGAATCGTCCAGTCTGAATAGTCTCTTGTCTACCTGTGTCTGTGTCAATCTATGAGGGTAATCAAGGAATATTTGGATAGGAAGTTGTTGTGGAATCATCCAGTCTGTTGTCTGGCTGTCTGTGTCTGTGTCTGTCAAGTCATTCTGCGAGAGCGATCTAAGAATACTTGGAGAGGAAGTTGTGGAATCATCCAGTCTGTCGTCTGTCGTCTGGCTGTCTGTGTCTGTCCTTTCAATCTGTGAGAGTGATCTAAGAATACTTGGAGAGGAAGTTGTTGTGGAATTGCCGAAACCTCTCCATCATTTCACCCAGCTTGGCAACGGGAGGAAGAATGGTGGTTCTGAGGAAGAAAAAACAGTTTAATTCAAACTGATCATATATTAACATGGTCACATTTACCACTGTTACAGTGGCTTTGCCAAAATTTACAAGATTTCAACATAACTTTCTACAGAAGACTGACTGAACAACTTGCACAGCCGGATGATTAATGTAGTGTGATTATATTCTCATTGGTATTCTGTTAACTCTCCATCTCAACTCAATCCTGATCTGTTTGTGAAGGCCTCCCCACCTTCTCCCACTCACTCACTCACTCACCTGAAGTGGAATGTCCCCGGCAGCTGACCGAAGCCACTCCCTGGCACCACACATATCCCAGTGTCCTCCAGCAGACTGAAGCAGTAGAAGGCATCTGGCGCCTGTCCCTTGGCCTGTAGTCAACAATACAGCATCAGTCATCTTTACACCTTGATGCTACATCACTGTATCTCCTGCCTATTTCCATGTACTACTACTACTACTACTACTACTAATAATAATAATACATCACTATATATCCTGCCTATTTCCATGTAATAATAATAATAATAATAATAATAATAATACATCACTATATATCCTGCCTATTTCTATGTAATAATAATAATAATAATAATAATACATTACTATATATCCTGCCTATTTCTATGTAATGATGATGATGATGATGTGTTCTTATACTGTGCTTGCTTCCATACACAAGATACATGCTCAAAGCACTTACATTCTTACCAGGTCAATGGATCAGTGTGAACGCGATGTTCATTTTCAGCTCCCTGGGGAGTATACAAACCAAACAGCCCTCTTAGGCTCTACTAGAGGGTTTACAGTCACAGTATCATATCATCCCACGGGGTACCTATTTCTACTGCTGGGTGACCATATGTAGATGTATTCAGCCCTGACACAGGGGTGGCCTACCTTTGCGGCCTCGATGGCCTTCTGTGGCAGTGTGATCCGTGGGAAGGCGTACATGGCTCCCTGCACCTTGTTACACCTGATGCCTTCCATGGAGTTGAAGGTCTCCGTCACCATCTTGGCTTTCTCCGCCAGTTGACTCAGCACCTCAGTCTTCTCCTGTAGACGGGAGACAGCATATGCTCACACTGACTTTGCAGCAAAGCCTTTTTCTCGTTACTGGGTCTTTAATGGGTAACAAACTAACCACCTTTGTAAAACTCTTTCTTTTTTTATTCATTGGGACTAGGGCGTACTTGCACAAAGCGATCTTAGCGCTAAGATGATCGTAACTCCCATACTTTAACATAGGCATACAACAATCGTAGCGCTAAGATCGCTTTGTGCAAGTGGGCCCTGATCTTGGAGTCTGGGAACACCTAGATCAATCCCTGGGTGGGCCATTTGGGGATATTTTACAATGCAATAAGACTGTAACAGTCATAAAAAACTTGTGTTGTTGTTGCTGTTTATTGTGTAACGCCACACTCAGTAATATTCCAGCTATATGACGGCGGTCTGTAAATAATCGAGTCTGGACTAGACAATCCAGTGATTGATATCATGTGCATCGATCTTTGCAACTGGGATACGATGACATCCATCAACCAAGTCAGCAAGCCTGACCACCCGATCCCGATAGTCGCCTTTTACGACAAGTATAGTCGCCTTTTTTGGCAAGCAAGGATTGCCTAAGACCTATTCTACCCCGGATCTTCATGGGTATACATAACTTATGAGTGCCTTTATCTTCCCACAATGTAGATTTCCTTGCATTATCTGACCAATGCCCCTAAATAATGCCTTCAGTGCCCCTAAACAATGCCTTCAGTGCCCCTAAACAATGCCACCAGTGCCCCTAAACAATGCCACCAGTGTCCCCTAAACAATGCCACCAGTGTCCCTAAACAATGCCACCAGTGTTCCCTAAACAATGCCACCAGTGCCCCTAAACAATGCCACCAGTGTCCCCTAAACAAAGCCACCAGTGCCCCCTAAACAAAGCCACCAGTGCCCCTAAACAATGCCACCAGTGTCCCCTAAACAATGCCACCAGTGCCCCTAAACAATGCCACCAGTGTCCCCTAAACAATGCCACCAGTGCCCCTAAACAATGCCACCAGTGTCCCCTAAACAATGCCACCAGTGCCCCTAAACAATGCCACCAGTGTTCCCTAAACAATGCCACCAGTGCCCCTAAACGATGCCACCAGTGTCCCCTAAACAATGCCACCAGTGTCCCCTAAACAATGCCACCAGTGCCCCTAAACAATGCCACCAGTGCCCCTAAATAATGCCACCAGTGCCCCTAAACAAAGCCAACAGTGCCCCTAAACAATGCCACCAGTGCCTCTAAATAATGCCACCAGTGTCCCCTAAACAATGCCACCAGTGCCCCTAAACAATGCCACCAGTGCCTCTAAATAATGCCACCAGTGCCCCTAAATAATGCCACCAGTGCCCCTAAATAATGCCACCAGTGCCCCTAAATAATGCCACCAGTGCCCCTAAACAATGCCACCAGTGCCCCTAAACAATGCCACCAGTGTCCCCTAAACAATGCCACCAGTGCCCCTAAACAAAGCCACCAGTGCCCCTAAACAATGCCACCAGTGCCCCTAAATAATGCCACCAGTGCCCCTAAACAATGCCACCAGTGCCCCTAAACAATGCCACCAGTGCCCCTAAACAATGCCACCAGTGCCCCTAAACAATGCCACCAGTGCCCCTAAACAATGCCACCAGTGCCCCTTGAATACTGCCACTGTGTTACAGCAAGCATACTGTACTGGGGACTCTGCTACCCTGGCATCTCAACGTTCAGACATCTCAAAATTCAAGTTGGGCACCAGGGTATGATGATACATAATTAGCCAGGTAAGGTAACCCAGGGTACTCTACTAGGGTACTGGGGACCTACTCTGCTGTCCTGGCATCTCAAGGTTCAGTCAGCTCTGAAAACATGTCTACTCCGTTTCATTTGACCTCGTATTCAAGTAGGGTACCAGGGTACGATGATACACAATTATGTACCCTTGGTGTCTACTCTTAAGATAAGCATGGGGTACTGGGGCACTGGAGACCTACTTGGCTATCCTGGCATCTCAAGGTTCAGTCACCCTGAACACATATCTACCTCACCTTGTTAAAGAGCTCGTACGAAGGTTCGCCTGGCTGTGGCGGGTTGACCACGACATCCATCACAGCCTGCAACATAGATTTGGTTTAGTTGTTTGTTTGTTTGTTGTTTAATGCCGCACTCAGCAATATTCAGCTATATGACTGTTGTAAATAATCGAGTCTGGACCAGACAATCCAGTGATTAACATCATGAGCATCAATCCAGCCATTTGGGATTGATGACATGTATCAACCAAGTCAGCGAGCCTGACCACCCGATCCCGTTAGTCGCCTCTTACGACAAGCATAGTCGCCATTTACGGCAAGCATGGGTTGCTGAAGACCTATTCTACCCCGGATCTTCACGGGTCTGCAACATAGCCAACGCAGAAGGCCAGTGCATGATGGAACATTGCTTCAACAGGGACTTGGGCAAATCAGCAGCCTCATCTCATACAAACAACTTATAATCCTTATATCACAGTTAACTATACTCACTGCCAAAAGAAACACATAAACTATACTTGTTGGTCGAAATATGAAGACTTACTCATTATCAAGTTAGTGAGTGAATGAGTTGGGTTTAATGCCGCTTTTAACATTATTCCAGTCATATCACGGCGTGTCAGCTTAATGTGGGAGGTAAGCCCGAAGTGTTGCAGGTCTTAGACGTTTACCACTTCGATGAAACCCACAAGCACAGGTATGGTGCTGACAAACCTAGAAACATAATTGGGGCAAACCGGGATTCAAACCCACAATCATAGGTTTCTGGCGTGCCCAAGGGACGCAACTCTGCACAGCGAATCGCGGCGCCTTAGACGACTGGGCCACCCGTGCCCCCTCATGATCAAGAGACATGAGATTGGTTGATGCACAAATGAACATAGTGGTATCCTGTGTGAACCGATGCTCATGAATGCATCACATATGACGTAGATCCATGACTCGAGTTTCACCATTTGTCTCATGCAGGATGAGCTTGTAAAGTTTGAAAATCACATGCAGCATATCATGATAAGAATGAAGTCACTCTGTGGTAACACTTGACTGATTGTTAGTTTTGTCATTAATTGGTACACATTGGAAACTTCTCTTCTTAAGGTAGATATGGTTCTATATGTTTCTATGGCTTGCGTTTCTTTTGGCGTAGCATAAGACGTTTCAGTGTCACACAGCTACACAATGAGTGAGTGAGTGAGTGAGTGAGGTTTTACGCCGCTTTTAGCAATATTCAAGCAATATCACAGCGGGGGACGCCAGAAATGGGCTACCCGACAGCTCCTACAAAACCTAGACCTTTTCTGAATACAGACAACAGAATGAGGAGCATATTCCTTCCTTGGATGTCATCCAAATGTAAAAATACATCTGAATTTCAGAAAGTAAGGATTTTACATCAATTTCTAATTTGGGACAATCAAATGAAAATCAGATCTTAGTTCTCGCTATCGCTAAACAAAGATCTGAGGACATCCCATTATGGGTCATGTCAGAACGACCTTTCATCCGACCAATCAAAATGTTGCTTACCAGATCATGAAAGTGACAGTCAGAATGTGTTTTCTAATCATGCAACCTCGAAAACGTTAACACAGGGTATTCCGAACGACAGTTACGGCCGTACAACTGATTCCTTCAGAATTATCGTCTATCTCTTACTTCCGTGGGATAAACATTTGAACGGAGGAGGCGTTGCATAGTACGTGGGAAGCACTGTCATACAATCGCAACCATATATAAGACATTCCTGAATGTTCATTTGTTCAGTTTTCAAAATTTTAATCGAGAACTGTGTCAACATATTTTTCAAGCGCAGTCTGAAATGGAAGTCACCAGGTTGAAGTGAGTGCCATAAAGCTCAAGAAAGCTGCTTTCTAATTGGCTGATGTCGACTTCTTGTTAGTCGTTTTGTAATGGGATGTCCTCAGATCTTTGTTTAGCGGCAGCGAGAACTTAGATCTGATTTTAATGAGATTGAATTTGGGACAAAATATTCTCTATTTTAAATATGCCTGACCCAGGCAATATAGTTAAAATCATAAATAAATGACAATTACAACTCAAAATTTAATATTGTATTTCTAAGTAAATGTAAGGTTGTTCAAATATGCTATAAAAAGTGTCTCAGATGTATTTTGAACAGTGTAACCTACTGATAATATTCTAATTGTGGACATTCCAACCTACTCACCTGGCCGGACACGGATGAACAGAGTTTGGCTGAAATTGACTTCACTAACATTGCCTTCACCTCAGGGTCAAAGTTTATGACCTCTGAATAGCCTCCTCGAAATCCACATCTAAACCAATGAAAACACAATGCTTATTTCACGATTTCCCATATTTGGCTACGACAAAACATTTGTCTTTCTGACAATTTAAGCCTTTTAGCCTCAGTGCTACACTGCCATACTACATCATCAGGTGAAAGTAACTATACTCACTCTCCCATATACCCCTTAGACGTGGACATGAATGACGCCATCTCCATATCGCTGTACGGCGACCCCATCTCCATCAACACCTTCTTGAAGCTGTGGAACTCAGACTCCGCAGCGTAGACGTTGTGCTGGTACACCTGGATCAGTGAGTGAGTCAGTGAGTGTTTGATTCTTTAATTGTTTGTTTGATGTTTAATGCTTCACTCAGCATTATTCCAGCTATATGACAGCGGTCTGTAAATAATCAAGTCTGGACCAGACAATCTAGTGACTGACATCATGAGCATCGATCCACACAATTGGGATACGATGACATGCATCAACCAAGTCATCGAGCCTGACCACCCGATCCCGTTAGTCGCCTCATGGGTTGCTGAAGACCAATTCTAACCCAGATCTTCACAGGCAAGTAAATGAGTGAGTATTGTTTAACACCCCTTGCAGCAATATTCCAGCAAAATCACGGCGAGGGACACCAACTATTGGCTTCATCATTGTGGGAAACTGAACCTCATCCTTCGCTTTCACCACAAGGATACCCCACCACCCCAAACCAGCATCAACATGGAGAGGAGATAGCACATATATTACTCATATTGTAGAGCTGGGTATAAGTTAAATTATTTGTAGTACTTCAAACTAAGCATTATAATTCTTGCTTCATGCTGATTGGCTAGTTCATATCAATTGTTCCACTGTTTTCATTGTTTGGAAAGTGTCCCATAATCCAGTAAATACATTGTCACAAATAACTCAAGATGAGTGAGTGAGTGAGTGAGTGAGGGTGTTGGCTTTTACTCTGCTTTTAGTAATATTCCAGCAATATCACAGCGGGGGACTCCCATTGTACCCAAGTGGGGAATCAAACACAGGCAAGTGGGGAATCAACCACAGGCCTTCGGCGTGACAAGCAAACACTTTAACCACTAGGCTACCCCGCTTCCCCAACTCAAGATAATTTCATCCCTGTTTAATGATGTCATAAATTATATAACGTAACGTCACCCCAACAACAGATTGACTGAGCTGATGTACTTAACTGTCATAGAAAAAAATCCATATTTTGCAACATTTTCTCAGAAAAAAGACTATGTGTAAGATGAACAACAACATATTCACAACACAGAACTTACAGATCACTATCCCTGGTGAAAAAATATCAGATGTGAAAATGAATTCACATATGACAAATGTCCATAATTTTTGTAGTTCATAGGTTATACAGGAGAAAATCATACTGTTGTTTCCATGTAGAACTATGTTACCTATAGACTGGACAATGCTAAACTGAACTTGGAACCCAAAGGGCAACAAACATACTTTGAATATTGTAGTAACTACTAGGGCTGGGACAGGTAACTCAGGTACTCGGGTCGGGTAGGTCATGAGTGGGACCCGGATACCAACAGGACTACCCGGACCCGTGGTTAGTCACATGATATATTGTTTAATGACAAAAAGTCACTATAGCTCATTGGTGACACTAAGAGTCGCTAATGCTCGCATTTCTTTCTGACAATGAGCACATTCCTTTTGACTTGTATATGTTTGAGTAAAGATAAAGCTTCAGTCAACTTCAGTGTACAGTTTTTCCCAGGGCTGCAGTAAAATAATTCCCAATCAGACATTTTGTACTAAACTCTTGAGACCTACAGCGGTGACCGGGTAGGGTCGGGTAATAGGGGGTCAGGTACCCGGGTAGTAAATTTGGATTTGTCCCAGCCCTAGCAACAACAACTCTGCCTTTGTAACCTATAATTGTACATGTCATGTTCAACATGCCTACCAACCATGATTGAGAAAACAGTAATTTTATGTACATTGCAGCTTCCTCTGTCATGCGAACTTCAAATCAGTTGTTTAATTCAGAGGCAGATCTGTGATTCGACATCTCTGATTAACCAATTAGAATCAAATACTGTATTTTCCAATTTGAGAGAATTTCTAAAGGTGTGTTAACAAACCTATAACTACTGAATATACTCTTTAAGGTAATTACTGCTCTTATTTCATACATTTTTGGTCAATAACATGTACCAGGACTACTGACCTCATCCGCCATCAGCAGCAGGTTCTCCTCCTTGGCAAACTTGATGATGTCCTCAATATTCTTTCTCGTTAACACCTGGCCTGCAATCAGGGGTCATATATTCAGACACATGATAGTCATGGGGAGTTACATCACCTGTCTACTTGGTTTCAGATTTATATTTCAAATGAATGATTAGGAGGAACATCATCACCTGTCAACTTGGTTTCAGATTTCTATTTCAAATATATGATAAGGAGTAACATCACCTGTCTACTTGGTTTCAGACTTCTACTCAAATACATGATATGGAGTTACATCACCTGTCTACTTGGTTTCAGATTTCTATTTCAAATATATGATAAGGAGTTACATCACCTGTCTACTTGGTTTCAGATTTCTATTTCAAATATATGATAAGGAGTTACATCACCTGTCTACTTGGTTTCAGATTTCTATTTCAAATATATGATACGGAGTAACATCACCTGTCTACTTGGTTTCAGATTTCTATTTCAAATATATGATAAGGAGTAACATCACCTGTCTACTTGGTTTCAGATTTCTATTTCAAATATATGATAAGGAGTAACATCACCTGTCTACTTGGTTTCAGATTTCTATTTCAAATGAATGATTAGAAGTAACATCACCTGTCTACTTGGTTTCAAATTTCTATTTCAAATGAATGATTAGGAGTAACATCACCTGTCTACTTGGTTTCAGATTTCTATTTCAAATATATGATAAGGAGTAACATCACCTGTCTACTTGGTTTCAGATTTCTATTTCAAATGAATGATTAGGAGTAACATCACCTGTCTACTTGGTTTCAAATTTCTATTTCAAATGAATGATTAGGAGTAACATCACCTGTCTACTTGGTTTCAGATTTCTATTTCAAATATATGATAAGGAGTAACATCACCTGTCTACTTGGTTTCAGATTTCTATTTCAAATGAATGATAAGGAGTAACATCACCTGTCTACAGTTTCAGATTTATATTTCAAATATATGATAAGGAGTAACATCACCTGTCTACAGTTTCAGACTTCTATTTCAAATATATGATAAGGAGTAACATCACCTGTCTACAGTTTCAGATTTCTATTTCAAATATATGATAAGGAGTAACATCACCTGTCTACTTGGTTTCAGATTTAAATTTCAAATATATGATAAGGAGTAACATCACCTGTCTACAGTTTCAGATTTAAATTTCAAATATATGATAAGGAGTAACATCACCTGTCTACTTGGTTTCAGATTTCTATTTCAAATATATGATAAGGAGTAACATCACCTGTCTACAGTTTCAGACTTCTATTTCAAATATATGATAAGGAGTAACATCACCTGTCTACTTGGTTTCAGACTCCTATTTCAAATATATGATAAGGAGTAACATCACCTGTCTACTTGGTTTCAGATTTAAATTTCAAATATATGATAAGGAGTAACATCACCTGTCTACAGTTTCAGATTTAAATTTCAAATATATGATAAGGAGTAACATCACCTGTCTACTTGGTTTCAGATTTAAATTTCAAATATATGATAAGGAGTAACATCACCTGTCTACAGTTTCAGACTTCTATTTCAAATATATGATAAGGAGTAACATCACCTGTCTACTTGGTTTCAGACTTCTATTTCAAATATATGATAAGGAGTAACATCACCTGTCTACAGTTTCAGATTTCTATTTCAAATATATGATAAGGAGTAACATCACCTGTCTACAGTTTCAGACTTCTATTTCAAATATATGATAAGGAGTAACATCACCTGTCTACAGTTTCAGACTTCTATTTCAAATATATGATAAGGAGTAACATCACCTGTCTACTTGGTTTCAGATTTCTATTTCAAATATATGATAAGGAGTAACATCACCTGTCTACAGTTTCAGATTTCTCTTTCAAATATATGATAAGGAGTAACATCACCTGTCTACTTGGTTTCAGATTTAAATTTCAAATATATGATAAGGAGTAACATCACCTGTCTACTTGGTTTCAGATTTCTATTTCAAATATATGATAAGGAGTAACATCACCTGTCTACAGTTTCAGATTTCTATTTCAAATATATGATAAGGAGTAACATCACCTGTCTACTTGGTTTCAGACTTCTATTTCAAATATATGATAAGGAGTAACATCACCTGTCTACAGTCTCAGATTTCTATTTCAAATATATGATAAGGAGTAACATCACCTGTCTACAGTTTCAGACTTCTATTTCAAATATATGATAAGGAGTAACATCACCTTTCTACTTGGTTTCAGATTTATATTTCAAATATATGATAAGGAGTAACATCACCTGTCTACTGTTTCAGATTTCTATTTCAAATATATGATAAGGAGTAACATCACCTGTCTACTTGGTTTCAGACTTCTATTTCAAATATATGATAAGGAGTAACATCACCTGTCTACAGTTTCAGACTCCTATTTCAAATATATGATAAGGAGTAACATCACCTGTCTACAGTTTCAGATTTCTATTTCGAATGAATGATAAGGAGTAACATCACCTGTCTACAGTTTCAGATTTCTATTTCAAATATATGATAAGGAGTAACATCACCTGTGTTGCGCAGTCTCTGCTACCAATGTTTGTTGTGCAGTGGAAGGCGACGACGTTCAAGTGTATACCTTTCGTCTTTCCTACTCCACTGGAATTTATACGATTAATGGGGAACTAAACATGATTTGTTGAATTTTCCTATTCGGAATATTTTATAGTAATATGTTACCACTTGTTATACCGAGGCTGTTGTCTCCCACAACTGCTCTTATAGCGAAACCTACCACAGAGATCTAGATTACCTCATGAAGCACGTGCGTAGCCACCTCAGCTGCCATGTGACACCCTTCACTCTTGTCTCTAGCGAGAGCAAGTACTCGGGGGACAGTGCACCTGTGGTGTGAGTTGCTGGTTTGCAGGACCCCCACTCCTGTACCCACGGCAGTGGGAACATTGGAGTCGACCCAGATTGACCACCGTGCAAGGTCTGACGCCTGAGGAGTTCGGAATTGCGCTGGGCACACCCCTTAGATGACCGCTTGCGCCGCGATCAGTGGCCCAAGACAGTGCACACCCTCCACGTCGTCATCAGAAACCTTTCTGAGGTAATGATTGGCAAAAACCGAGTCAGAACACCAGTAACAACCTCGTAATATTCTGTGAACAGAGATATTGGAGTGTAGGGCAAAAGTTGCCGCTAGCGCCCTGATTTTGTGCGGGTTTGACCCCGCAACCGGTATCCCCCGAGACCGGTACGCCAGATTGATGACAGAACGAAGCCATAACGCAATCAAGTTGCGAGTTATGTCAGCAGTCCGAGTAAGGTTACACGATATGAACAGACGGTCACGCCCTTGTCTGCGTTTATTCAAGGCCTTAAGATAATACTTAAGGGCCCTAACCGGACACAGTGATCTGTCCTCAGTATCAGCAGGACATAAGATTTCCTTGAGTGATCTTAAAGTGAATTCTCTCTCCGGAGAAATGCTGTTTTTCAAGTCACATGCTGAAACGAAGCACTACTCAAGGGTACATACGGAGCTTCCGTAAGTGATTTCAACACTAAGGAAAGATCCCAGGCCGGAGCCCGAAGGCGGCCTTTCTTAAGATCTTGCTGTTTGAAACCCTTGATAATACCCCGAATCACCATCTCTTTATGAGAGACTGGTACCCATAGCAATGTCCTGTACCGTAGCAACGGAAGAGACATAGTTGGCAATGGAACCCCCGGAGAGTTTCCGGGTCTCTCGTAAGTGAGACATGAAACGAGCAACGTCCTGCACAGATACCTTATCTGGCGAATGAATGTGATGTTTACAGCACCACTTCGTGAAAATAGCCCAGATTGAACTGCCCTGCGTTTGGATGAAGTTGACGGGTGTGAGGGTGGATCAGTAGATCCGGTCTCACAGGCAGTGGAAGTGGCGACTGCGTGACCTTGGCCAGCAAGTCGGGATACCACGATCTGTTCGGCCACATGGGCGCGATCAGCAACATTCGACAGCGAAATCCTCGGAGCCGGCTTAGAATGAGTGGTATTAACGCCATCGGCGGGTAAGCATAAGGGTCCATGCCCGTCCAGTCTAACGCGAGAGCATCGTGATCAATGGCCTCGGGTCCGGGACTGGTGATACAAACAACGGGAGTTGATTGTTGAACCGTGTTGCGAACAGGTCGACCATCGGACGACCCAGACGTTCGCACAGCCACTGAAACACTACTGGATTGAGCATCCACTCCGTGGGGCTCAGATCCCGAGGCCTCGACAGAGCGTCTGCCAGTACGTTCCGCACACCGGGAATGTGACGGGCACGTACCTGGCACGGGACACTGTCCACCAGAGCGTAAAACTCGAACGTGAGATCGAGAAGCGAGTGACTGTGGGTTCCCCCCAGTTTGTTCACATAAGACGCTACCATCGTGTTGTCGGTAGCCAGCATGAGCCGGGCGACGACGAGACGATGCTTCCAGTGATTGACTGCGTTGATCACTGCCTTGAACTCGAGGCAATTGATGTGAAGACCTAGTTCGTCTACGCACCACAGCCCCGAGCTCACCTCCCCTCTAGATAGGCGCCCCAGCCCACTAGAGAGGCGTCTGTATACAGGTTCAAAGTGGCCTGGAAGGGCCGCATAGAGACTCCTGATAAGACGTTGCAAGGGACCGTCCACCACTCCAGATGCTGTCTGAGCCGATCCGGGAGGGCGACGGACGCTTGTTCTCCTCCTGTGCTAACAACTGGATTAGAAACCGTTGCAGCGGGCGGAGTTGGAGACGACCCCGTTCGGTGCAGTCCTGGGCTGATACAAGCAGCCCTAACAGCTGTTCCCAAAAGTGAACAGTCTGTTGCACCACTAAGACTTTGGCAATTATCACCTGAATCTTGTGCCACCGGTCTGGGGGGACAAAGAGGCGATGGGTCACCGTGTCGAACCGACCTCCGATGAACTTCAAGTTCTGTGAGGGGGTTAACTCGCTCTTGGGGGGGATTGACAATCACATCCAGGTACGCAGAGTACCGGACACCCCTCTTGTGGAGGAACCCCACTATGGGGTTGGTTAACCGGGTGAACAGCCAGGGAGCGGATGATAGGCCGAATGGGAGTGCTACCCACACATAATGCCTGCCTTGAAAGACAAACCTGAGATACTTGTGAAATGGTCCGGATGGATCGGAACATGCAGATAAGCATCCTTCAGGTCGATCGATGTGAGCCAGTCGGCGGGCATGATCAGAGCTTTCAGGTCCGCCAAGGTCAACATTCTGAACTTGGGCGGCTTGTGCAGGTAAAACTCGTTGAATGACTTCAGATTGTGAATTATTCTGAGTTCGGCATGGTTACAACACACGCACCACCAATATTCACAAACGAACATTTTCACAAGAAAATAAACAAGCATTACGAATATAGAACATACACATATAGCATATAGAGAAATAGGTGATGTAAACCCCCAGAACATACTATAACAGGGAAATGTAAGACGCAACGTGCATAAGAGACACCCCGCAAGTATATAGAAAAAAGGGGGGGAAAGATTTTCCTTTTGGCGGGCAAAAGATTTTCAAGCGCAGTTACAGCAAACGCCCCGAAATGCACAGTTTATATGAGTCAATCAACAGTAATAAATAGCACCAAAGGTTGGAGAAACAGGAACGCTTCAGAGCAGTCAAGGTACACGTCTTGCTGGAGCAAGCGATGAGACAAGAGTGACGGGTGTCACATGGTAGCTGAGGTGGCTACGCACGTGCTGCATGAGGTAACTGAGATCTCTGTGGTAGATTTCGCTATAAGAGCAGTTGTGGGAGACAGCAGCCTCGGTATAACAAGTGGTAACGTATTACTTAAAGTAATAGTACATACATGTCCATGATGTTTTGTTCCAAGACATCAGAAACAAAGACTCAGTTCCTGTGCCTTATCCCATCGTTGTGGAACATCAAGATTTTTAAATATTCTGCATTGCCAATTCTTGTGATTGGGATTTTTACAGACATGACAATGTTGTGCCTTGCTTACACCTTGTGCACCAAAGTACATACCTGATCCTTGATGTTGTCTAGATTCTGATGTCTTCTCTGATAAGCCATGTTTAACTTCAGAGGCTACAGTATTGAATTCTGCTTCTTGAATACGGTAATCCATTCACGAAGAGTCTCAACAGATTCCTATCTTTGCTGCTCTAAGACCCATCTACTATACTGAACTATCATGCTTTCCGTTAACTTTTTCAGAAGCAACGAATACAAACAACCATCACCTAGCTCCTCTATCTTGTCAGCCTCTCTGAGACTAACAACTGCCACATCTAGCATGTCAGCAAACTTTTCAAGATCTCTGGCATTTCCTGGGCGTAATGGTTTGACGTTAGAAATTTCCTCTAACTTCAATGCTATTTGTCGTCTTTTGCCTCCAAACTCTCAAGAGCAATATCATATGCCACCGCACTATGACCTAATTTAACAAGCTGTGCAGGTTCACCTGATAGGTACTGCTTGAGTTGCAACAATTTATATTCATTTGTTGCAGGAGCACTGTCAACGCAAGCCATAAATGTGGCTTTCCACCCTTCATAGTTTTTTATATTTCCAGAGAACATTGGTATTGAAACTCGTTTCAATTGCTTCCATAGATCCTAGCAAATACTGTTTTGATTAGACTTACCTGTGCTATGATATCTGTGACATGGAAGTCTCGAATTCCGTCACATTCTGGTTTGGGATGTGGAACCTGTTCATCATTCTTAGATTTTTGCTGTGTGTACTTACCATCAGAACTGCAGCTCTGAGCATCATCAACACTAGCTCCCTTATCAGATGCCTGTTTAATACCTTTTGCTCCATGAGAAGTTTTACTTTTTTCTGAATGAAATATAGCAGGTATTCCCGATAGCATAGACTTAGTTGAACTAGAATCCAACGTGTTGCTAAGATACACTTGTGCTTTGTCGATAGCTGAATCTACGACTTCCTCTATTTCATCTATTTCAATGCTTGTTTTCTTCGCCTTATCAACTTCACCAGCTTTTTTGTAAGCTTTCAAGATCTTTACAATTATACAAACAGCTTTACTGTGAAGAGAAAAGACTTTATTAATTGTTTCCCTTATTGTTTTACGTGTTGGAAGTTCTTGTTCAAGCAACTCCATTAGTTTATTCTTATTTTTTGTCAACGCTGATTTAGCAACTGTCTTTTGTTGCCTTAAAGCTGCTATTGTGACATCTAAATCATCATCTGTGGATTCAGTCATTTTGGAATCCACTTTTGATTTAGAATTTATGGACTTTATCCCGACTTTATCACTGTCCTCTGAGAATTCTGATCCTTTAGCATCTACTTTTGATTCCGAACTATGAGACATTATCCTGGTTTAAATGTAGGCCTATAAAGCCTAATATTCACAGGTAATGTAATGAAAACTGATTTACAAGGAAACCATCTGAACTATTAAAGTGAAGTAAAAAAGACAAATATATATAGGCAGAAAACCACGTTTGTAACCACACTTGTAACTAAGCTCTGCTACCAATGTTTGTTGCGCAGTCTCTGCTACCAATGTTTGTTGCGCAGTGGAAGGCGACAATGTTCATGTGTATACCTTTCGTCTTTTCTACTCCACTGGAATTTATACGATTAATGGGGAACTAAACGTGATTCTCTTTTAATGACATGTGGGGAACTAAACGTGATTCTCTTCTTAATGAAAAATAAATAAACTGTGCAAGGTACATGACCGCGAATGCAGGAATGAATAATTGACTATAGGAGCAAGTGCACACTTTACGTTTCTAAGGGCCACGAATATTGTCCCATCTAGTTTATACCAAGACCACGAATATTGGTCCAACGATAACTAGTTCCTATAAAGACCACGAATATTGGTCAATGACCGTAAAGTGTGTCTTGCCCCAAGGAATGAAATCCTGCACTGCTATTGTCAATGCATCACATGTCAGCATTCATTTTCTGCACGTGAAACGCATGCCACGATCTGATTTCCACGAAGCATGTTGCGTTTGTGCTAAATGTTCATGTTACATGAACCGAAACAATGTTTGTTTTGTTTTACTTATTTTTTCTCCACAACAACCTGTCAACAGTTTCAGATTTCTATTTCAAATGAATGATAAGGAGTTACATCACCTGTCTACAGTTTCAGATTTCTATTTCAAATATACAATTTGTAGGATGACAAGTTTTGACGACAATTTTTTTCCATGTAACATCTCAAGTTAAAGGGGCACTGATCTAACGCAATTCCCCGGGACTGGTTGTTGCCTTTGTTATTGTTTTTTCCCAGTGAGTACCCGGATGTATAGCAGAAATCTAGACTAGTTCGCGACCTCTGCTGCGCCATTCGTAAGCGCATTAGTCACTTGTATGGGTAGTAATATAGAGGGCGTATGGTCACATTGATCAACAAAATGAAATACAGTTTTGGAGATAATAAGGAAATGTAGGTATCTTTGTGGTTAGCATCGGTAATGGTGACGAAGTTTTGATAAGTCACTTGCTTGGTAATTTTGCGATTTTCGTTTACACTATTTTGACTTGCAACACAAAGTAAATATTTCACCTGAGCATTGCTTTTTGATAGTGTGTATATTTTTTACTGTCAAAATGTGTAACATTTTCAAATTTATTCAACGCCTAAATATTCAGTTATTTAACAAAGTGACTGAAAAACATTTCCATCTGTATTATTATGATAACGAATTCCAAACATTTTGATGTTTAATGTCATCACCAAGAGACTGAAAATGTTACGTTGAAAAGTATATTTCTATGTTGTTTGGCTTCTAATCCTACATAATAATCTGTTGTGATGTTTGCAGGCCCTTTTGATCGCCTTAATCAATCTGGACAGATGTTTTAGTCAAAATGACTGAAATATTTACACATTTTATAAATTGCCTGAGAGAATTACATTTTACAAATTGACGGTAATATATACACGCTTACAAGGGAAAAGGCCTGTGAAAACAATGTCTATCGCGCATTGAAGAATTTCCCAACCAAGACGTAGAGAAACAAGGACGAATCGGTTCAATGCTACAGCAAATGAAGGAAAACAAAATGCAAATACCATAATTACAACCTACCAAATTTATGTGTATAAATTTTAGGCAGCTTCCTTATTCGAGGAATGTATCCGTGAATATCCACACAAAGGAACAATATCCCATTCGTCTGCAGCTGTACAAAGAAACCTATTCGATGTCACATGTCTCTGTAACAATCACATATTTTAAAAGATATATATCGTTTCGGGATATTATAACCCGTGTTCGTTTCTCAACTGATCACTTGGATTGTTTCAGGTGTTTCACATAGGTGTCAAGTCTCAAGGGTCAGCTGAGAAAGCCCACGTGACAACTATTTTCATAACGTCCACGGTTCCTAAAAAATCCATTGAGTGATAGATAACAATAATCAATCAATCAACGTATTATCAGTTCACCCTTTGAACAAAGTATGTTGTTTTTACATCGGCACTTCACGCAAGGATATGTGTGTATTCCCTTTGTTTTAGTAAACCTAGACATGTAAACACTCACTTTTGACATATCCACTGTGCAAGATAACAGTGATTAATCAATCAGCGTATTTTCTGTTAATCCTTTGATGACTAGGAACCTATTACCTAACACACATTTCACCTCACTTCAAACCTGGATTTAGATTGAATAATTACCCCAGACACAATAAATGCCAAATGGGAACCTTTGTCAGGTAATCTATGTGGTGCTACCACTAATTGTACCTGTAATAACTTCATTAACTGAGCATCAAGTGAATGACGACAAATACACAAGTGTAGGGTTATGCGAGAAAACGTGGATGACAACAAGGGTGTAGTAATCGTATTATCGACGCAATCCGAAAATGCTTTCACTGCATGTATACTTTTTTTTAGTGTTAACTATAACCATCTGGGGTATTTCCAAATGACGACATCCGATGAGCTCTGCCGTTCTTTTTGTCTGTTAGTTTAGGCTGAAGAAATTAATTAACATGCGCCCTTTGTCCAAATCTTTTTAGATCACGGTAAACAAATCAGTGTTTATGCAAAAATGCGTAAAACAAATATTGCCTCCAGCCTCCAAGTTTATTTAGCTGTCCTTGCAGACGGTAGCCCAGTCTCTGGTCACGTTCAGTTGCGCTGCGTATCATCCGGGTACTCACGGGGGAAAAAACAATAACAAAGGCAACAACCAGTCCGGGGAATTGCGTTAGATCAGTGCCCCTTTAAAGGGAAGTAACTCTAATCTGAAGTTGTAATAATCCTTGCTAATCAACAAGATGCAGGTTTGAAATTTGATCATACAAATTGAGTTTTCTGCATTATAATGTATGTTTTATTAATATTAACTAATTAAAACTATCAATTATTTATACATACTATATTCAATGCCATTCATAAATTCCAATCAATGTACTACAATCGTAGGGCAAACAAATGTAATACATTGTTAGTTTGATATCTCATTACACTCCTTTCAACTACAGCCTTATCACCATCCCACCAGCACCAAGTGCTGACATGTTCAACGTAAGGAGTGACTCTCACCTGTTGGGTTGCCAGGGTTGATGATGACGATGGCGCGGGGCTGACATTGTGTCCTGGCTTCAGAGATGGACCTCTTCAACTCATCGATGCTCAGCGCCCAGCCGTTGTCCTCATCAAGGAAGTAGCCGATCTGCAAATATAATAGTCGTGTGACCAGTAAATTCTAAAATATTTGTAATCTGGCACACAAGGTGAGCTGAGATGAGGTGAGGTGAGGTGAGGTGAGGTGAGGTGAGGTGAGGTGAGGTGAGGTGAGGTGAGGTGAGGTGAGGTGAGGCGAGGCGAGGCGGGGCGAGGCAAGGCAAGGCGAGGTGAGTGAGGTTTAATGTTATCGCTCCTACTGACTCTGATTGAGTAAGTATGGTTTTACGCCACCTTTAGTAATATTCCAGCAATATCATAGCGGGGTCACCAGAAATGGGCTTCACATGTTGTACCCATGTGGAGAATCGAACCCAGGGATTTTGCGTGATGAGCGAACGCTTTAAAAAGTTTTACCACTAGGCTACCCCACCGCCCCTTTACTGACTTGGATCAGAGCCGAACAACAACAGCTGGGTGTTGTACTTACAGGGTGAGCGTTGTATTCAGCTATGGTTGCTGTGTACAATGGGTACTGAGGAATTGGAATCATCACTCCCGCACGTTTGTTCCCTGTCTCTCCTGTCATCGTCAGTTTCATCACATTCTGCAACAAGAACATCTCATGTTATTGTAACCTCGTCATCCTCTCATGGAGCTGAAGGAGTCCACAATCCCAGGCGGTGGTGGTGGTCCATAGATTTCAGTTGCAGCAACTCAAAGTGAAATGTTTCAGTAAGGTAAAAAAAAAAATAGTCTTGGTTCTCAGGCACTAGTCGCATCATCATAAAGCCTGCTGCACATTTCGTTTCTATTTCAATTTCAATTATTATTTTTTAAACGACCATGGCAGTGAAATGCTACAATACTTAAGAACAACATGATTTAGCTGAAATTATTGTAAAGAAAATTTGGTTACACACTAGCTTGAACAACAACAACAACAACAACAAAAACACACTGCTCGCCCACACTGTATTTTCAAAACCATTGTCTAAGAACCAATTCTTTTAAATTTTTTAAGCCTAAGAATGCATTTTACCAGCAACATTCTGCCATTCTGGCAAGGGATGTGCAAAAGTTCCTTCCTTAGCCACAGATAGTTTTGCAGCAACATATTTCACAGCCGGGCTAAAATAACGACACCTTGTAATAAATTCTTTCAAATGAACATTTAAGTTAATGAAAAATATGTATTTTTTCAAATGTGGCCACAATAATGGCTGTAATCAATGAGGTTGCTACACGGCACACACTACTATCTAACTTCCATTTACCAGTCATCTTTTAATGTTTAGTTTTGATGTTTCAAGGTTTAATCACAATAAACCACTCACATGCATGTAGTCTGTGTTTTGGTTATACAGGTATTGAGCTCTATCATTGTATTCTGTCATGACTCACTTCCGTCATCACCCACAATACAAGTAGCATCACACAACCATGGCAGGGAATAATGCATGAGTAGCTTTGTAAGCTGTTTCTTACCAAGGACTTTCACTCTTTGTTAGTTCAAAACCTGTTTTGCTCAATGACTTTGGGCTTTCCTCAAACATAAGTTGTCCAAAGTGTCATTATTAAGAATTAGAAAGAAATTGTTTTGAGCAAACTATTTCACACCAGTCAGAGATGGATTGTTCACCCACCTTGATGCCGTCACTGGCTCCTGTGCTGAGGAAGATGTCATCAGGGCTGCATGGATGGCCGTCACGGGCGGCGATGTATTTGGCAACATCCTCGCGGATCACCCTCACACCAGCACTGTCACTGTATGCTCCTGAAACAGAGTAGTATCATTGGATCAGGACTGAGTAACAGTGAACCAGTGGAATCAGCATGTACACTATCACCTACACTCTTTCTCCAGATACTAATACCCCCAATGCTCTTACTCTCTCCCATTGCCCTCTTTTTTACCAATGCTCTCTTTCTCCCAGTGCACATTCTCTCAATGCATTCTTTTAGTCTTTTCTCACAATGCTCTTTTCTCAAATGCTCTTTCTCACCAATGCTTTTTGTCCCAATGCTCTCTTTCTCACCAATGCTCATTTTGTCCCAATGCACTTTCTCACCAAAGCACTTTCTCACCAATGCACTTTCTCACCAAAGCACTTTCTCACCAAAGCACTTTCTCACCAATGCACTTTCTCACCAAAGCCCTTTCTCACCAATGCTCTCTTTCTCACCAATGCTCTCTTTCTCACCAATGTTCTCTTTGTCCCAATGCACTCTTTCTCACCAATTCTCTTTCTCCCAATTCTCTTTAACCATTGTGCTCTAACCTAAGATCTAACCAATGCTCTCTCACCTATGCCCTCCTATTTCATCCATTCTCTCCCTCACCTATGCCCTCCTGTTTCACCCATTCTCTCCCCCACCTATGCTCTCCTATTTCACCCATTCTCTCCCTCACCTATGCCCTCCTATTTCACCAATTATCTCCCTCATCTATGCCCTCCTATTTCACCCATTCTCTCCCCCACCTATGCCCTCCTATTTCATCCATTCTCTCCCCCACCTATGCTCTCCTATTTCACCCATTCTCTCCCTCACCTATGCCCTCCTATTTCACCAATTATCTCCCTCATCTATGCCCTCCTATTTCACCCATTCTCTCACTCACCTATGCCCTCCTGTTTCACCCATTCTCTCACTCACCTATACCCTCCTATTTCACCCATTCTCTCCCTCACCTATGCCCTTCTGTTTCACCCATTCTCTCACTCACCTATGCCCTCCTGTTTCACCAATTCTCTCACTCACCTATGCTCTCCTATTTTACCCATTCTCTCACTCACCTATGCCCTTCTGTTTCACCAATTCTCTCACTCACCTATGCCCTCCTGTTTCACCCATTCTCTCACTCACCTATGCTCTCCTATTTTACCCATTCTCTCACTCACCTATGCCCTCCTATTTCATCCATTCTCTCACTCACCTATGCTCTCCTGTTTCATCCATTCTCCCACTCACCTATGCCCTCCTGTTTCACCAATTCTCTCACTCACCTATGCCCTCCTGTTTCACCAATTCTCTCACTCACCTATGCCCTCTGTTTCACCAATTCTCTCACTCACCTATGCCCTCCTGTTTCACCAATTCTCCCACTCACCTATGCCCTCCTGTTTCACCAATTCTCTCACTCACCTATGCCCTCCAGTTTCACCTATTCTCTCCCTCACCTATGCTCTCTCCTCCACACGCCTTCAGTATCCTGCTTGCCCTGTCCTTGGCATCTGAAGGCATTTTGGGATCATTCAGGAGTTCCGGGTAGGTGCACAGTGCTGACACCTGGTGGGAGTATACATTGGTGCTCGAGGTTAAAGGTTAATGTATTCTAAACAAAAGATACATTTTCTATAAGAAACAGGAGCTACTGTCTATTTCAGCATTTTTCTTTCCAAAGCACAGAAAAAACATAGTCCATCTTTAACAGACCAATAGTTCAGAAGCAAAGTTTTGATTAATGAATTGTGTGGACTCCTTAAAATGATAATGATATCAGTACCTGTCTGATGATAACAACATCGGTACTCACCTGTCTGATGATAACAACATCGGTACTCACCTGTCTGATGATAACAACATCGGTACTCACCTGTCTGATGATGACAACATCGGTACTCACCTGTCTGATGATAACAACATCGGTACTCACCTGTCTGATGATAACAACATCGGTACTCACCTGTCTGATGATAAAACAACATCGGTACTCACCTGTCTGATGATGACAACATCGGTACTCACCTGTCTGATGATAACAACATCGGTACTCACCTGTCTGATGATAAACCAACATCGGTACTCACCTGTCTGATGATAACAACATCGGTACTCACCTGTCTGATGATGACAACATCGGTACTCACCTGTCTGATGATAACAACATCGGTACTCACCTGTCTGATGATGACAACATCGGTACTCACCTGTCTGATGATAACAACATCGGTACTCACCTGTCTGATGATAAAACAACATCGGTACTCACCTGTCTGATGATGACAACATCGGTACTCACCTGTCTGATGATGACAACATCGGTACTCACCTGTCTGATGATAAAACAACATCGGTACTCACCTGTCTGATGATGACAACATCAGTACTCATCTGAAGACAAGATTGGTACTCAGCTGTCTGATGATCATGACATTCGACCTTGCCTGTATGATGATGATGACATCAGTACTCACCTGTCTGATGATCATGACATTCGACCTTGCCTGTATGATGATGATGATATCGGTACTCACCTGTCTGATGATCATGACATTCAACCTTGCCTGTATGATGATAATGATATCAGTACTCACCTGTCTGATGATCATGACATTCGACCTTGCCTGTATGATGATAATGATATCAGTACTCACCTGTCTGATGATCATGACATTCGACCTTGCCTGTATGATGATAATGATATCAGTACTCACCTATCTGATGATCATGACATTCGACCTTGCCTGTATGATGATAATGATATCAGTACCTGTCTGATGATAACAACATGGGTACTCACCTGTCTGATGATAACAACATCGGTACTCACCTGTCTGATGATAACAACATGGGTACTCACCTGTCTGATGATAACAACATCGGTACTCACCTGTCTGATGATAACAACATGGGTACTCACCTGTCTGATGATAACAACATCGGTACTCACCTGTCTGATGATAACAACGTCAGTACTCGTCTGAAGACGAGATTGGTACTCACCTGTCTGATGATCATGACATTCGACCTTGCCTGTATGATGATAATGATATCAGTACTCACCTGTCTGATGATCATGACATTCGACCTTGCCTGTATGATGATAATGATATCAGTACCTGTCTGATGATAACAACATGGGTACTCACCTGTCTGATGATAACAACATCGGTACTCACCTGTCTGATGATAAAAAAACATCGGTACTCACCTGTCTGATGATGACAACATCGGTACTCACCTGTCTGATGATAACAACATCGGTACTCACCTGTCTGATGATAAAACAACATCGGTACTCACCTGTCTGATGATAACAACATCGGTACTCACCTGTCTGATGATGACAACATCGGTACTCACCTGTCTGATGATAACAACATCGGTACTCACCTGTCTGATGATGACAACATCGGTACTCACCTGTCTGATGATAACAACATCGGTACTCACCTGTCTGATGATAAAACAACATCGGTACTCACCTGTCTGATGATGACAACATCGGTACTCACCTGTCTGATGATGACAACATCGGTACTCACCTGTCTGATGATAAAACAACATCGGTACTCACCTGTCTGATGATGACAACATCAGTACTCATCTGAAGACAAGATTGGTACTCAGCTGTCTGATGATCATGACATTCGACCTTGCCTGTATGATGATGATGACATCAGTACTCACCTGTCTGATGATCATGACATTCGACCTTGCCTGTATGATGATGATGATATCGGTACTCACCTGTCTGATGATCATGACATTCGACCTTGCCTGTATGAAGATAATGATATCAGTACTCACCTGTCTGATGATCATGACATTCGACCTTGCCTGTATGATGATAATGATATCAGTACTCACCTGTCTGATGATATTGACATTCGACCTTGCCTGTATGATGATAATGATATCAGTACCTGTCTGATGATAACAACATGGGTACTCACCTGTCTGATGATAACAACATCGGTACTCACCTGTCTGATGATAACAACATGGGTACTCACCTGTCTGATGATAACAACATCGGTACTCACCTGTCTGATGATAACAACATGGGTACTCACCTGTCTGATGATAACAACATCGGTACTCACCTGTCTGATGATAACAACGTCAGTACTCGTCTGAAGACGAGATTGGTACTCACCTGTCTGATGATCATGACATTCGACCTTCCCTGTATGATGATGATGATATCGGTACTCACCTGTCTGATGATCATGACATTCGACCTTGCCTGTATGATGATAATGAGATTGGTACTCACCTGTCTGATAAAGGTCAAGGGGCGTTGTCCGACAGCATGACAGTCACCAATGTTGGCTCGGATGACATCGGTAAAGGATTTCTTCACACCCTACAAGCATGGCAAGATAAAATACTTGATGTTTCTGTGGGTCATGATAACAACAATATTAACATTTTCTGAGGAGACAGATGACCCGATCCATGTATTGACTGTTATTGAACAACAGATGTTGAACAGCAACCTCAAAAGGTCAAAGGCAGTGCCATTATATCAGCTGATATATAGCTACATATTCACAGCAAGGGTCTAGTGACTATTTCCTGTTAAGTAGGGCTGGGACGGGTAACGCGGGTACTCAGGTCGGGTGGGTACTGAGTAGGACCCGGGTACCCACAGGACTGCCCGGACCTGTGGTTAGTCACGTGATATATTGTTTAATGACAAAAAGTATCTAATACTCTATGTTTAAACTACAAGTCACTAATGTTCACAGTTCTTCCTGACTACTACGCCCATTCCTTCTGACTTTTATATGTTTGAATAAAAATAAAACTTCAGTCAACTTCAGTGCATACACCAGATCGTTTCATACATGTATCTAAACACATTTTACCAGAGCTACGGTCAAACTTTTCCCAATCAGACACTTTGTAAATGTGGTATGAATTACACAGAATTATGTACTATCAAATGTTGAACAAATCATGAAAATACCCTAATCCCAAAGGTTTGTCTCAGATGTCAATCAACAGGTGTCAGTCAATCTTGAACCACTGCATGTGCGTCCGGCGAGACCTTGTTAGTCCAAACAACCATCAATCCAGAAGCCTGCCTTCAAGACAATTAGTGTTGGGTACCTCTTTTTATACTCAAGATATTGGTTAATCTGGATGATTTCAATGGGAATGTTACTGTCCAGATTAACAGGAGTTCAGTTTTCCTGAAGCTTTTGGTACTGAACGTGACAAAGATGTAAATAACAAACAGTGAAGTACTATCATGGTGAGGGTAATCTCACCAAGACAACACATTGAATGACCTATGTAACAAATAACGACGCCTGTGTCATAGTCTGACGTCACACAGGGCTCAGGGCAAAGTACACTTATGTTTCTTTGACATCACCACACATGAATGCACAACACCTGACCAGTACGCGCACCACAAGGGAGGGGAAGTAACTCTGGAACTGATTTCAACCACCGACCTATTATCAGCTGATTACGTTTGTTTTGCATGCTTGGTTAAATTTACGAAGATAATATACATGCTGTAAATAGAAGAAATGAATGTTCGTCACCTTTGCCAGTTCCTGTTCTATTTCGCCAGCTCTTATCACGATGGGGCCGCGAACGGCATACTCCATCGTTTTCACGAACGGGTTCATATTTGCGACTGTCAACACCTTCCCTCTCGTGCACATCTTCTCCCCCGTCTTTCCTCTGAGGGCAAGGCATGCTGCGCGTCTTGCTGCGTTCTCAAGGCGTCTCTCTGCCGTCCGAAACATCGCCGAATTTCAATATGATTCCAAGTCAGGGCCTAAAACTGTTAGAACGACTTTCAGATACTCTGTCGGACATAAATAGCAAGGGTGAAGGTCGCGGGTCAAAGGAGGTCAAACACGTGGAGTTGTTATCACTCCGCTCATTGCACAGACTCTGTAAAAGATACACACGACAAGCCCAAATTTCAGCTTTAAATTTTACACAATTTGAGCATGTTGAGCAGATAAACATTGTTAGTTTTGAGTGATTTGCTCGGAGTTATCAAATGCACTGCCATTTACAGTTATTATAACAGAATTTATACATGTTAAAAAAAATCTAAATATGTGAGTGAGTGTTCTTGTTTTTTGTTTTAGAGTATAATATCAGTATTGGGCAACCCGTGTCATGTGCCATCAAGCACAAATTAAGCTGTTGTTGTTTGTTTGTTGCTTAAAGCCGCACTCGGCAATATATCCCAGCTATGTATGACGGCTCCCTGTAGAATCGATTTTGGACCAGACAATCCAGTGATTGACATTATGAGCAACGATCCACGCCGTCGGGGTTTGAAGACACGCCATCAAGCATGTCACCATGCCTGATCACCCGATCCACCACGCCGCCTCTTACGACCAGCATACGTTGCTGGGGACCTATTCTATACCGGATCTCCACGGGGCCATAATTGATTGTCTGGTCCAGACTCGATTATTTACAGACCGCAGTCATATAGCTGAATATTGCTGAGGGCGACTTTAAACAACAAACAACAAACAACCATAAATGATGCTCTCTTTCATGGATGTAATTGTGGCGCCAATATAATATTCATCCCTACATTATTGTGTCCTGTAACTTGCACCGACTATCTCACTATATATGACTCACTATAATATTCACATGCGCTTGCAACGCGGTCGTGCATAAACATGATTATGTACATCTGCTGCTTGCAAAAACAACTATCGATGCAAGCATGCAGGAAGACTTACGCATAGTCTCTGAAAATATATAATTTAGATAGAAACAAGCAACTACATTTAATTTGAAAGGCCCCCCCAGTGAAATTCGACATTCAGACCCTTCAAAACATGTAGAGTTGCTTCGTATAGGGCTGTAGCATTACAGTAAGGGCTGGGCGGAGGGGAACACACTGTGGTTCTGGGACTGTGAGACAGATTAACATGCATGTAGCAAGTGCACTCACGATGTTCTGCATATAGCACTGTACACAATTTGACAGAAGGTATGTTCTCGTATTACTAAGGTGAGGCGAGGTGACATGGGGTTTAAAGTCGCGTTCAAAATTACGTACTGGACGTATATATAGCGACGTGCATGCACATGTGTGTTTGTGTCTGCTTGTACTAGTCCGGACTAATTACAGTTTTTATAGTGCTAGCCCACTGAGATACCATGTCACAGTTTAACATGAATATTCCACAGTATACTGACTCTGAGCCGACCAGTCCTTGTTTTAGCCCCTTAATGCCGAGCACCAGGCAGGGTAACAACAAGTACCATCTTTTAACGTCGTTTGGTGTGACACGGGCGGGGATCGAACTAATTCGGGAACTGACCTCATGCTCAAATCAAGCTCTAAAGCCTATATCTCTACATACTGGTTTAAAAACTATGTAAAATCGGAGAGTCTATATATGTCTTAAATAAAACTTCTATTGCCTTCATATGTATATGTGTTATAGACTAGATAAAGTACAAGTTATACAACGACACGTACGGGTTTGTCTCTAGCATGGATTGCAGGATCCGAAGGACACGGGGCTAGATGACTTCTGGAGGAAGCGCTTCTTTATATAAACGAACAGAAGACACGACCTCTACAAGGATGTAACGCTTGGTCATCAAGCCGGAGCTTCGCCAGCATCACGTTCTCATGGAGCATGTCGGCTAAGGAGTGGCACATACAAAATATCACGTAGTTAATATCAGAACGTAACCGTGCATAATCATACATCAAAGGAGATATTTATAAATATGGTAGGATAGGCCTCCCTCTCTCTCTCTCTGTCTCTCTCTGTCTCTCTCTCTCACACACACACAGACACACACACACAATCTCTCTCTCTCTCTCTCTCTCACGCGCGGTCTTCAGCAACCCATGCTTGCCGTGAAAGGCGACTAAGCTTGTCGTAAGAGGCGACCATCGAGATCGGGAGGTCAGGCTCGCTGACTTCCTTATTGCACGTCATCGTATCCCAATTGCGTGGATCGATGCTCATGATTTCAGTCACTGGATTGTCTGGTCAAGATTGGCACCCAACGAGCAGATATGTTATTCATCTGTAAATGTTCATGAATAATAGTTTCAATGGATCCATGGCTTAGACCCGTGTCTTCCTCAAGTTCAGCAATGGTAATACGTCAATCTGACAGTATAAGTTTTTCTATCTCCTTGATTGAATCTTCATTGATGGAAGTCGATAGACGTCCAGACCTAGGGTCATCATAAAGGCTTGTTCTCGCAGCCTTAAACATAGCTGCCCAACGTTTAACAGTGGAATAGCTACGGCACTTATCCCCATACACTTGTGACATAAATTTCTTGGGGAGCACTTTTCTCTTCAGACAAAAACTTGATGACTGCTCAGTATTCGTTCTTTTCCATTTCTGTGTCTATTTGGACCCCTATCACGTTCAACTGGCTGTCACTAATATACAAACAGCATCAACAGACAAAATACACTTGCAATGAACTACTCAAACAATGTACTACATTGACAAGTTCACTTTGTTATGGTCCATAGTTGAAAGTTAGTTAGGTTTAGAACATTTTTTGACCAGCCCTCGTACAAGGGGGTTGTTACCGTTCTGGGAGTTAGAGGTGAGTTCTTGTTACTTCAACCGCTTGTGAAGAGTTCCCTCCCCTACAGTGCCTTATCCTGTATCAACTTCAGTCAAATCTACAGTTGAGTGTGTTTCCTCCAAGGCTCTTTTAAGGTAGGGGAATACAGTTTAACAAGTCCTTCTTGTTTGGTCTCTAACAGGTTTCCGTTTTCAATATTTAGTCTACATCGGGAAGGAAACTCCGTGCGCGACATACGCTTGCAGTCGGAAAGCGCACGTTAAATCTCCAATATAAGTAAGTAAGTAAGGAAACTACCCCTTTCCGCATTTGTCTAAATGTGAAGTTAAAGTCAGAGTGCGAATTGTAAACTGTGTTCTATGTGAGATATGAAATTCATACGTAATTTAAGTTTTAGCTCAGTTTTCCCAATTTACTAGATGTACTAGATCTTCAGCAACCCATGCTTGCCGTATAACCCAGGCGACTATGCTTGTCGTAAGAGGCGACTAACGGGATCGGGTGGTCAGACTCGCTGACTTGGTTGATGCATGTCATCGTATCTAAATTGCGTTGATGGATCTGGTCCAGTCTCGTTTATTTACAGACCGCCGTCATATAGCTGGAATATTGCTGAGTGCGGCGTTAAACAACAAACAAACAAAACATGTACCACAGTTCTGCTGTTGCATTCAAGATTCTGTTCCACACTAACAAACTTTGTTGTGTGCAATATTCAAAGAGGAACTAAGAAGTATATTTTACAAGGAAGGCAACGAGAGTCGCCGTATTTTGAAACAGTTGCTACTCACTAACCGGAGTAAATTTAGAATAGGTTAATTATTTGTTGCTTATCTGAGTTTTATGAAGTAAAGAATCCAGTAGACGACTCATCTTCCAGCAGATGACGCAAAGGTGTTAACTGACTTAAGGAAGTGAACTTTTTTATGAAGTCAGTTAACACCTGGGGCGGTCGGGTAGCCTAGTGGTTAAAGCGTTCGCTCGTCACGCCGAAGACCCGGGTTCGATTCCCGACATGGGTACAATGTGTGAAGCCCATTTCTGGTGTCCCCCGCCGTGATATTGCTGGAATATTGCTAAAAGCGGCGTAAAACCATACTCACTCACTCACTCACTCAGTTAACACCTTTCCCGCGGGATGATGTCTAGATGACTTTGCCTTTGGCATTTTGCGTCACAAGGGAAAGAGCACTTTAGTGATTTGGATTAAAGGTGGAGACAACAGTTGAAACAGTTTTGTCCGAAGTTTGCATTTGTTTCGGGTCTCTGAGGTGATCGTGCTCTAACATTGAAGCCTTTTCAATGTTGTTTAGGACAAGGCTTTCTAGATAGTTTGGGACTTACAAAAATTGTTTGAAGTTATTCCAAACGTTCTTGTTTGTGGGGGTAATCTGTCGTTATCGAACACACTCCTCTCGGCAGACAGTACGGCTGTTTCTTTTCGTGTGGCCTGGGTGACAGGATCGACATTGATGAGGATATTGATGAGGATACAGAGTGAGTTGGGTGTTGGGTGTAACGCTGTTTTGATTTGTTTGTTTGTTGCTTATTGTCACACTCAGCAATATTCCAGCTGCAAGGCGGTCTGTAAATAATCGAGTCTTGGCCAGACAATCCAGTGTATGATATCATGAGAATCAATCAACGCAATTGGGATACGGCAAATGCTCAACCAAGTCAGCGAGCCTGACCACCCGATCAGTAAGTCGCCTTTTACGGAAAGTATGGGTTGCTGAAGACCTATTCTACCCGGAATCTTCATGGGTCTAGGCCCAGGTCACCAGTGGTAAGAGCTAATGCTAGAATTTCGGTAAACCGACAATAACCTTAGAGGATGATCAGTATGTAACAATCATTACAACTGAGTACAGAAATATAGCCTTGTTATAGGTGAGGTGAAATTGGGTTTAACGTCGCGTCCAAGATTATTGCACTTATATAGCGACGTGCATGCACGTGTGTGTGTGTGTGTGGCTGCTTGTACTAGTCCGGACTGATGCCGATTTATAGTGCTAGCTCACTGAGATACCATGCCGCAGTTTAACATGAATACCCCACTCAGACACAGTATACTGACTCCAAGCCGACCAGTCCTTGTCTTAGCCCCTTAATGCCGAGCGCCAGACAGGGTAACAACAAGTACCATCTTTTAACGTCTTTTGGTATGACGCGGCCGGGGATCGAACCCCGGACCTTCCGCTCTCTGGGCAGACGCTCTACCACTAGAGCACGGAGGCGGTCTAGCCTTGTTATAGCCGGGTAGAGAGGTAGATTCGTGGTTAAAGTTCCACCTGAGTTCAGCTTCTCACATGGCTACAATACTACCCTCAGTGTACACTGCTGTGATAAGGATAGATTAGTGCTAATAGTAACACACAACAATGGCCATTCTCTCAGCTGTTACTTAAGACAGTGAGGCTGAGCAATGTGGTTGATGGCCTATCATGGTGCCCTGAAGGTAATGGATGTTGCTCATAATATCAATCACTGGTTTGTCTGGTCCAGACTTGATTACGTACAGGCTGCTATGATATAACTGGAATATTGCTGACTGCAGCTTACAATTTAGTACCCGGAAAGGCACTATACACTACTCTCAGTACACAGTTCTTTTAATATTACTGTACTAAATATGTCATACGATAGATTAACTGTAGTATTGTGGAAGAATCGGGTGTTTAACATCTTTGAGTAGTCTACAACAGAACACTGGCTGAAGGTGGAACTCTGTACTGTTGCACTAACCAACAAACGTCTGTTGTTGACCTGTCTACATGTCTCACCTCCAGGAACAGACACTTGTTTACTAATTGTCTGTGTGATAATCCCTGACCTTCAGCCCCAGACACAGATGTCTGATTCCCACTACTTGCAGACAGTCAAAACTTGTAAGCAATGAAAACTCAGTGAAGTGTTCTCAAAACTTTTATTTTGTAAACACCATCAACAATATATTCACTATACAGCATACATGGGATACAAACAGTTATACCATGATGTGTGGTAACAATACATCTGGCCTAATGCATGTACTACTTGTCCATAGGGATTGTATTTCATGCAGGGATTACGTGAACACCTCACTACATCTCCACTGAGCGATACGAAGGTTATTCTCAGGACTTTGTAATCATTACTCAATCTAAGGGACCAGTCATTTATTACAGTGGGTGCTTGAGGGTTTTGTATGCACCAATGTACTGAAAACAGTGGCCCTCCCCTAATGTTTGTCATATTTTTGGATGACGATTCCAGAAAAGACAACATGCCAAGTCCTTTATATTTTATTATAAAAAGTCCATTTTTGTTAAGACTCTCCCCAAATGTATGTATTTTGTTGACCCTCCCGCTAGGGACTATCATATTTTTGGGGGGACCCTCTCCTGATTCCTTCTGACCCACCCACCCCTTTAATAAATGACTGGTCCCTAACACAACGTGGAACATCATCAGACGAACTACAGCTCATGTCAGTTGTCTGCCGACCATGTTCCAGCCTGGGCCAGACAGTTTGGCGTCACTTGCAACAAGGTACCTTGTCTCAAAACCCTTTCCGACTAGAGTACACGATTTATATGCCATACAATCAACATTTTCATATTTTTCAGCTTCATCTGAGTCAATATACATCAAGACACTAGCATGTTAGAGAAGTGAAGATGTGAGTTATTTCCCCTGGTAGGGTATGTATGTCCTTGACATAGTACTCAAATCCATCTAAATCCAGAAGTAATTGAGTATCCGTCAGAGCCCTACTTGTAGGTTGTCCAGTTATTGAACAAACAATTTGAAAACGAGGAACTGATAGACTAATACCTCTATTCTGTTTCTGAGCAGTAACCAATAGTTGAAAAAATAATGTTTGTAATGACATACCACTCATGCAATGACACCTGTTTTTAGGTAATTTAGTAACATTATGGGGACATGCCTTTGTAGAGATGTGTGCAGTGTTGGACATCATGCCAGATTCTTGATTGGCCTGCATGTAGTCGTTATGAGTGAGTAAGTGAGTATGCTTTTTTAGCACTATTCCAGCAATATCCCGGCGGGGGACCTCATTGGTGCAATCTTATTAAAATCAGACCTTAGTTCTCGCTATCGCTAAACTAAGATCTGAAGACATCCCATTAGGGGTCACGTCAGGACAACCTTTCATCCGACCAATCAGAGCGTCGCTTACCAGATTATGAAAGTGACAGTCGGAATGTGATTTCTAACCATGCAACCTCGAAAACTTTAACATGGGGTATTCCGAACGATAGTTACGGTTTTAACAACTGAATCCATACAATGTAAACCATCTATTTGCCATTCCAGAATGTTCTTTTGTTCAGGTCTCAAATTTGCAATTGAGAATATGTCAAAATAGTCGCCAATTTGAAATTAGTGCCGTAAAGCATGAGAAAGCTGCCTTCTGATTGGTCATTCCATTGGTCGGTCAAAATTCGCGCAAGGGCGGTCTGACGTGACCCGTAATGCGATGTCCTCAGATCTTTGTTTAGCGGCAGCGAGAACTAAGATCTGCTTTCAATGAGACTGCTCCTTGGTGGTACAGTGAGTAGCATCTCCCCAATGCAAGGGAGGTAACTGAAAATAAAAGTCCAGTTTCCACCCATGCTGAACAAGGCTGGAATTAAGGAATTATATTTTGGCTGGACTAACGATTCTATGCATAGTCCAATAAAAATCGCGTAACAATATCGCTATCCGGTTCGTAAACTGCCGTGTAGATTTCAGTCGACTGCAGGATTTGCAAAGCATGTTTACCAACAACTTAGCGTCAAACAGATATTTTCCAAATGATTTTATGTTTTTAATCAAGGTGCTCATGTGATTTGATGCACTTTGTGAAGTAAGGCCCGTTTCAATACAAAATAGATCTTTATTATCAATCAGATTGTCTTCACTAGGTGAAGCCATTTTATTTAAGGCAAATGCAAGTGATATGAGAAGTGGAAGCTGATTGATCAATAGCTGGGACATAGAAGGGACATAACTAATAATACCCATTGGCGGCGCTACGATCGAGCCCAGAACAGAAATTGCATCCTAATTCAGCAAGGGTGGAAACTGGACTTTTACAGTCAGGTAACTCCCTTGCCTCAGGAAGATGAGCTAAGTTACAACAAAATCAATAAGGTAGTTGTTACCTCATATAATTCCCCAAATTCTCTTAAATGACAAGATGATAGTGTGGTTTCTGGCCTGACAACATGAAATAGAGAGTAAGTTAATCAGCTGACCTCAGCTAAGTGAGTGATGCAAGACGTTTGTGAATTGACCGTAGGACTATGACATATTGACAAGGCCTAAAAGGTACATTAGTTACATGAACACGACCCTGGACTTCCATTTGAACTTCCTCAGCTCTCCATGCTTACAGACTTGGCTTTCCTGCTGGGCAGGAATGTTGACTTGCCTGCAAAAAAATATACATGTAAATGTTTGCAAGCTTGTGTGACATAAGCAGTAATCAAGCAAAAGAGTCTGCAAAAGAGATTGGCTAGTTAATACCATTATTGATGTGAGTGTGTTAATTTTGATGTGACATTCCATCATACATTGTTTGCAGTCACAAGATCATTGTCTTCATAATGTCCAAGTCATAGTGGATTTGATTTAAACACAATACTGATTTCTTCTGAAATAAGTTCCATGAGCCAAATGAAACTAGATTACAAATGCAGACAAAGTTGAACAACCAAATTCTTTAGAACATTTCCATCTTACCAATACCACCAACTTTACATGAAGTTCTCCTCTTACTGTCTTGTACAGAATTAGTATCTGTACAATTATAATCTAACCTTAGTGTTTGCTTCTGCTACACACAGATCAGAGGACATGACATTGCAGGTCAAGTCAAAACGACCTATAGCAAAGTTGACAAATCAAAGAAATCACTTAACAAGAAGTCGACATTAGCAAATCAAAAAGCAGTTTTCTCGAGCTTCACGGCACTTGTTTCACCCTGGTGACTTCCATTCCAGACTACACTTTCAAATATATTTTGAAAAATTCTCGATTCAAAATTTGAAAAATGAACAAAAGAATGGAATTTCTCATAAATGTCCGAGAATGTATAATAGTACTTCACACTGGCTATGTAAAGCTTTTTCTGTTCAAATATATATCCCATTGAAGTGAGAGATAAACATTGATTTTGAAAGAGTAAGCCCCTAAATGTCATTTGGAATACTGTTGTCATAACAATTTTGAGGTTGCATGATTAGAAAACATCCCTTCAGTCACTTCATGGCAACTCTCTGATTGGTCAGATGAAAGGTCATTTTGACGAGACCTGTATTATAAATGGAATGTTCTCAGATCTTTGATTAGTGGTAGCGAAAACTAAGATCTGATTTTAGTGAAATTGGTATTAGTACAGTCAAATACTAAACAATAACAGGAATACATCTGTCGACTTTACTGATTCTACTGCCTACATAGCTACAACAATCACAGAGACATGGCGGCAGTACTTACTTGGTGGTGTTGTGATCTTGGAGGCCAGCCACACAAATGGTTCAACAAGGGACTGACGGTTCGTAACGGAGACTTCCCACAGTCGCACTGATAACAGAGTTGTGAAATATATTAAACACAGATACCATTTTAGGTCTTTGAAAGGCATTTAGAAGTGATACACATAAGGAAGAGAATATATGGATGTCAACTTCTTTATTATGATAGATATTATGAAGTTGACATCCATATATTCTCTTCCTTAGATACCATTTTGTTTTGTATGTTTGTAACAAGTTTAGACCAGACAATTCAGTGATTAGGTATCCATCTACAGAACTGGGGATCCACCTAGTTAGCAAGTATGGCCACCTGATCCCATAAGTCACCTCCTACAGCAAGCAAGGATGAAGACCAACTCTAACCAGGATCTTCACGAGGTAACTCAGATATCAGCTGATTACATACCTACATAATTAAACCACATATTTCTTTAAGTCCATGAACTTGATGAATGATGTACCCACAAATTAGTTTCTAACAGGCAATGACTTCTTTCTCGGGTGACACTTTTAAGGATATTTCTGGTTTTGTATTCAACTGACAGGACACAGAAAATATACATAAAATATGAACATTTTCAGTTTATTTATATTTTCCCAACTGCATGTTCTTTGATTGATTACTGTCTACTGTTTAAATAATGATTTATCAATGTAAATACAAGTACATTGTTCCTGTAAAACCATCCTCTAGAAGTAGCATTTATTGTTTGGTTATCAAAAATGTCCCAAATTAATTTTCACCGAATAAAATAAAAAGTATTCAGCTACACAAGTTTGTTTATATTTTAACCAATCCTTGTCAATTGTTTCTGAGAAAAAAGCGTACAGATGCCAGACATTGAACAGGGTTATGACAACCTCACGTGTGAGTCAGGTGAGTTAAAAAGTGTTGCCATAATTGATGTGGAAATAATGAATCGCATGGGGTACAAAAGAAATGGAGTCATGCAGGGTTATGCATCATAATAATCAGTATTTTAGAAGTTATTATTTCTCCAGTAACCATGACACAGGTCTGTATGTAATATTTTAAACTAGTCCTTCATGACATTGACAGACAGAAGCCTACATTTCTCCTTGCCGGCCCAGGCCATGGCAGTGTTGAAGTCCACCTGTCTGTGTTCCGTTAACTCACTCTTGTTGCCGATGACGATGATGTGAATCTGTTGAAGATAAATAGATGAGCTGGTTGTGTTGAGATGATACAGATGCAGAAGAATGAGTAGCTTCCAATTAAATATAGAATCAAATCTTAAATGAAATGTTTAAAGAAGAGGTACATCAGGTATGAAGTTTCTAACTCTGTTAAAGGAGCATTGTTGAGAAAAACAATTACAGCAATGGCAGAGCTCAAGCTTTAGCAAAATGATTAAACAGCTCACGAGGATGTACAAGAGGTCTCAAGCTACTTTTAAATCAATAAACTTCAATAAAACAAATATGTCTTGGTTGGGCTATTATTCATTCCATTTGATGATGCATTATGTTTCCTAGCATGGGACCGCCTCCGTGGTCTAGTGGATAGAGCATCTGCCTGGAGTTCAAACCCAGGCCACATCTTACGAAAAGACACTAAAAGATAGTACTTGTTACCCTGCCTTGCATTAAAGGGACAGTACATCTATGGTCCTGCATGTTTTTAAATCATACATGAAATAATTTCCAAGTGAAATCACATGCCTGATTCAATTCTCAAACCAAAACAATAGAGCTCTGCACAGCGAAGCCAAAAACGCAAGCGCTGTGCAGAGTAAACTGGCTTCAGTCATGTTTTTTATTAGAGGCAAATGATGAGCCTAATGCAAGCATTTCGGTGTGCTTTACATTTTGTTCTGCATAAATATATAGACGTTTCCACATGATTTGACGTAAATATGTGTTTCACGATACGTACCATATCGTGACCTATGTATCATGACACGTATCATATTGTGACCTTGATGTCTCATTTCACCCTTAATATAATGACCTTGCTATGGAGATATGATTTATATCACATAAGCCCTCGAGGACATTACTGGAACGTTCGCTTGTCATGCTGAAGACCCGGGTTCAATTCCCGACATGCGTAAAATGTGTTAAGCCCATTTCTGGTGTCCCCCGCTGGATTATTACGGCAGCGTAAAACCATACTCACTCGAGGACATTACTGTGTCCTGCTTATGACAGAAGACAATAAGCAGTAAAGAATCAGAAAGCAGGGTTCAACAATGGTGGGTGGGTGAGAGTTGTTTTATGCATTCAGCTACATTCCTGCCGATTTGGGCAAACTAGATGTCGACAGCATGAGCAAATATCTACCTTATTACTTCACACACAACCAGTTCACACATTGTGACCACCCAGTCCTCAGTTACATTAGTTCACACATGCATGGTTTTAAAGGGACCTGTTCTGCCCCAGGTTACCCATGGGCCATGGACATTATGAAGAGAATATTTATGACGGCCTGAACTCACCTCCTTCTTGTCCCTGGTTTTGTCGATGTCTCTCTTTAGTTTGTCTAGTTTCTTGAAAGACTCAAAGTTTGTCACATCATACACAAGCACAAAGCCCTATAAACAGAGATACATACAAACTACAATAAGCAGTGCTACAAAGGACTTATAACAGAAACAGTTTTGGGATTTTTTATTTATTTTATTTGGGGGGCAAATATAAAAAAATACAATCACCATATATGATATGAGCTCAACGGCTCAAATAAATAATATCAATAAAACTTAGAAATATAATTTCAAATTTCATTTGTACATATTAATTATTTGAAAATGATAAGCATGATAAGAACCAGAGACTATAAATCAGTATATGGTCTCGGTAAGAACTAATAATTTACATTGTACATGTGTACTCCAAACAATATTTCTAATATCATATTGTGTGTTGTTCAGATAATTAACAAGTTTCTAATTCTATACTTACATCAGGAAAGTTTAGGTAGTGTTTTGGTAGATCTGTGTTGCTCCCATCCTACAACACACAACACATGAAACCCTCATGAAGCCATGGCAACATTAAAACAAAAGTCAAGTTGAATATCAAGAATCATGTTACAGTAAAACCTTACTTATCCAAACTTTACTGTTCCCATAGAAACCCTATTAATCTGAACTTTACTATTCCCATAGAAACTCTAATAATCCAAACTTTACTGTTCCCAGTGAAACCCTAATAATCTGAATTTTACTGTTCCCATAGAAACCCTAATAATCTGAACTCTACTGTTCCCATAGAAACCCTAATAATCTGAACTCTACTGTTCCCAGTGAAACCCTAATAATCTTAACTCTTGTTCCCAGTGAAACCCTAATAATCTGAACTCTTGTTCCCAGTGAAACCCTAATAATCTGAACTTTACTGTTCCCAGTGAAACCCTAATAATCTGAACTCTACTGTTCCCAGTGAAACCCTAATAATCTGAACTTTACTGTTCCCAGTGAAACCCTAATAATCTGAACTCTACTGTTCCCAGTGAAACCCTAATAATCTGAATTTTACTGTTCCCATAGAAACCCAAATAATCTGAACTCTACTGTTCCCAGTGAAACCCTAATAATCTGAACTTTACTGTTCCTAGTGATACCCTAATAATCTGAACTTTACTGTTCCCAGTGAAACCCTAATAATCTGAACTCTACTGTTCCCAGTGAAACCCTAATAATCTGAACTCTACTTTTCCCAGTGAAACCCTAATAATCTGAACTTTACTGTTCCCATAGAAACCCTATTAATCTGAACTTTACTGTTCCCATAGAAACCCTATTAATCTGAACTTTACTGTTCCCATAGAAACTCTAATATTCCAAACTTTACTGTTCCCAGTGAAACCCTAATAATCTGAACTTTATTGTTCCCATAGAAACCCTAATAATCTGAACTCTACTGTTCCCATAGAAACCCTAATAATCTGAACTTTACTGTTCCCATAGAAACCCTAATAATCTGAACTCTACTGTTCCCATAGAAACCCTAATAATCTGAACTCTACTGTTCCCAGTGAAACCCAGTAAAAGCGGTGTTAAACACAACTCACTAATGAAAGTAATTTGAGTAATTTGAGTGGATTGCTACTTTTAGCATAATTTTTTTATCAAAATAGAACAGAGATTTATTTTTCTAGATAAACAAGGATGAATGGCCCCATAAAACAAGATGTTTTTACAAAGATTTTGTATCTGAGAAGACTTACAAAACCTCCAATATCAAAGATGCGTATCTTCTCCTTTATGCCCCGATCAGTCTCAATCACAGCTGTGTAGATGTCTTCAATGGTGGCCTGCATCGGCTGACGAAACAACATGGACACACATTTCACCGCATTTGTTAAAAGTCAGACAAATATTCATCAAGCAGTAATAATTACTCATAATTATTGATGATCTGATGATAGACTGATCGTTTAGTAACCATGTACTGGTGAAATGATCAATTAAAGTGTTCATAATACATTACGGGTTAAACGCTATTTAAGATCATTATAATCAGTGTTCAAACATCCATTAAATTCAAACACAATTCCAAATGAACACACTCCATTTATCATTGTTAATATACATGATATACAAATAATCTGGCATTATCATTTAAGAAATAATTAAGATCATCATAAAAACAGGTACTAAGGTAAATTTGATGGTGCAATGCATCAATCAAGTAATATTTAAAGGGGGTTTATGATCGGGCAAATCAACAAACCTTACATGTTTAAACCAAATGTTATAGCATGTATTAGTCCAACAATTGATAACCCTTAGAATACAGAGACAATGTCTTAGTTTCCTTATGAGCTAATTACAACCTAAGAGCAAGACTGAAAAGGAACTCTATATTATGAAGCATAGTCACTCTTTAATTAGAAAAGTTTCTCATCCTAAAAGGCTCTGTGCACAAACTTTGCTATTTTGGCGCTGTCAATCAGTGAAAGTCCAGTAGGCAAATAGCATTCTGCTACAAGAACCTTGTCTACTCTTTAATAAGTCAATTGTTCATACATTATTTTGATTATTAATCAATCATTATGAAGTGGGTTCCATTTATGAAAACTAAAGGCTTCCGAATTTCTATTTCATATGGCACTTAGGTTTGGTTTTGTTTGGAAAGCTTCAGGATGAATTATGCTTTCTCCTGAGTTTAAAAATAAAGAAAAGAAATATCTAAAACTATACGGGAGACGGCGATGCCTCACCGTGTTTTCGATGACGTGATTCGCGTAGAGCAGCTGCTCCACCATGGACGTCTTTCCGACACCGGTCTGGCCGCACATCAGCATTTTGCCGATCTTTACAGGCATCGTGAGAAGTTGTGAATGTCACTGTCAGCTTGCAAATATCACAATTTTGTCATAATCTAAGTAATTTTATTATTGTTAGGGATCTTTTCTTCGTAAGTTAAGAAATCAATACACGGATGTCAGTCCTTGTGAGATAAGGCAACATTCATCGCGCGTCACGCTGATAAACGCTTGTATTTTGCTTGTCTGGAAAACTTCTGTCAAATCGCCATTGCTTCCTGTTTACATTATTACCTCCCCTTAGTTCAATGGCGCGTGTTGGTTACGCAAAAAGTGGGATTGTATTCGTCTCTTCTCGAGCTAACGATTGATGTGGCAATATTTTAACATAATGGTTGTCGAATTACAGAAGAATACCTCTGAATTGCGTTAGTGGCATTAGAATAAATGACAAGAAAAGTATGCTTTTTTCTTATTGATGAAATAATGGGGAAAGAAGAAAATAATGTAAAATGTGTTTCCAATTCCCAGCCTAGAGTTTTTGGTGACAGGGTTCAATTCCATTGTGCCTACATCCCATTGTGCCTTCGTCCCAAGTTGCCTACGGAGATTCAGTTTCATTCCTATTTATGTGTAGGTTTGACCAGGGAGCTTATGCCAGCATGTCACCTATACTCCTTCGTTTGAAAGTTCGACCTCCCACGTGGTGTAGTGGTAGAGCGTTCGCCAGGAGGGCGGAAGGTCCGGGGTTTGATCCCCGGCCGCGTCATACCAAAAGACGTTAAAAGATGGTACTTGTTGTTACCCTGTCTGGCGCTCGACATGAGGGCCTAAAACAAGGACTGCTCGCCTCGGAGTCAGTATACTGTATCTGAGTGGGGTATTCATGTTAAACTGCGGCGTGGTATCTCAGTGGGCTAGCACTATAAGATAAACATTAGTCCGGGCTAGAACAAGCAGCCACACACGTGCATGTACGACGCTGTATAAGTGCAATAATCTTGGACGCGACGTTAAACCCCATTTCACCTCACCTCATTTGAAACTTCACCCGGCGCGTCCTTCTATTGAGGTGTCCTCAGATCTTCACGCAGAGGAATCATATCGGTTGATTGGTTTGTTGTTTAACGCCGCACTCAGCTATATGACGGCGGTCTGTAAATAATCGAGTCTGGACCAGGCAATCCAGTGATTGATATCATGAGCATCGATCCATGCAATTGGGATCGATGACATGCATCAACCAAGTCAGCGAGCCTGACCACCCGATCCCGTTAGTCGCCTCTGACGACAAGCATAGTCGTCTTTTACGGCAAGCATGGGTTGCTGAAGATCTATTCTACCCCGGATCTTCACAGGTCGAATCATATCGGAATAAAAGTTATATATTTCAATGAGATTGCTACATCTAAAGACGTACATACATCTATTTACGTCTTTGCTACATCTCAACACTAACACACATCTTCATTACTTATTTATACCCTTTATACATTCTCATTTTGATAACATTGATTGATTAAGTTATGAACGATTCGGGTTTACAAGTATCCACCTTTGGAATTGACGCGAATGCCTTCCATGTGCATGGCGGTTCAAAGTTCATTACGGCTATCTTGGGTGTGTAGGTAGCACGTGCCATGAATTAATATAATTTAATTAATCAGCATTTATGCAGTCGGTAGTCGATCAGTTTATCGTTTGATAAACACAGTCCTTACTATTTAATTATAATAAAACAGGGCGCACTTGTTGCCAAGTCGTCTCAAGCGCCGCAATTCGCTGTGCAGAGTTGCGTTTCTAGGGCCCGCCAGAAACCTATGGTCGTGGGTTCGAATCCTGGATAAAGTTTCTTGGTTCTCGTGCACGTTCTCGTGGGTTTCACCAAAGTGGCAAACGTCTGAGATCTTTATCACTTCGGGGTTTCCTCCCACATTAAGCTGACACGCCGTGATATAACTGAAATACTGTTTAGAGCGGCGTTAACAAACACATTCACTCACTAAATGATAAAATTCTCAAAAATATAATATACTTATTGTTTCATATGAAATTTGGATACCGAAATACATAAGGGTCTGACAGGGGGAAACGTAATGGAGGAAGCACTCCATCTAATGACTGTTTAGATCAATGAATCTCGGGTAGGTTTGTTTAGATATACTGCAGGGGGGGGCACGGGTGGCACGGGTGGCCCAGTTGTCTAAGGCGCCGCGATTCGCTGTGCAGAGTTGCGTCCCTTGGGCACGCCAGAAAGATATGATTGTGGGTTCGAATCCCGGTTCGTCCTGATTATGTTTCTAGGTTTGTCAGCACCATACCCGTGCTCGTGGGTTTCACCGAAGTGGTAACCGTTTGAGACCTGCATCACTTCGGGCTCTCCTCCAACATTAAACTGACACGCCGTGATATGACTGGAATACTGTTAAAAACGGCGTTAAACTCAACTCACTCACTAGATATACTGCATTTTGGTCCTCCAGCAAATTCCAGTCCCCTACGTCAGATGGCAACTTTGGTTTCTACAATCTACCAAGACAGATTATTGGACTACAACTTTAGCTTTGGCATTGACATCGATGTTTGTTTGTACCATCCCTCACAGCTGATATTAGCTTAAACTCTTTCGTTGAGGGACTACAGCATTCAAGAGGAACAGATCATCCGTAATTCCGAGATTCGAGTAGATTATTCTATATGTTACCCATTGGCAATTTAAGAGAGACAATTAAGAAAGAACGTATGAACAATGGATGACGCGATATCGTATATTTCTCAGCAATGGAACACGGTGTCATTTTGCATCCACTGACACACGGTCATTCTATCCTCATGGGTTATATAATAATTATACACTACGTAACAATGCTCTCGCTCAGGGAAATGCAACAATATGACAATGTTTTGTAATATGACACACAGTTCTATTTCTTTTATGGATTAAGAAAAAGTTAACCATTGTTATATTTGTTGTGTTTAGTGGAAAGGTTTTGGTTTGGTTTGTTGTTTTACGCCGCACTCAGCAATGTTCCAGCTTTATGACGGCGGTTTATTGGAAATGGCGCACAAGGCGTTCTCGATAATGTTACTGCAAACATTATTTCGTTTTACTTGCTTACGTACTTATATTGGAGATTTTACGTGCGCTTTCCGACTGCAGCGTATTTCGCACACGGATTTCGTTTTAGTAGGACCCGCCTTTTTATGGTCAGCCAACAGGAAGTTTTGGTAGAAGAGTTTATTATCCCGGAGGGGGTTGCTTATTCTTTAAAAGTTACTATATCTTGTGAGAGCCCCTAATACCTGCTACCTCTTATAACATTATCAAAATTATATATTCTGTAAATTGAACCGACAGTGGCCTCAAACTTTTTCTGTTTTTACATTAAAGGTGTAGCAACAAAATATATGCCATACTACCTTGCGTCTGAGAGAATAGAACGACCTGTTCTGGTGACGATTAGCTGGTTCCCAGTCTGATCTGCGCGTGCGACATTCAAACATTGTATAGCCAGAACGCAGTCAGTACAACGAATGGATTGACAACACGGCAAAATGTGAGTACTCCCCGTATCTCGATTCAAACAAAGAATTCACTTGAGAACTAAATGACAACATGCAAGTACAGAGCTATAACTTGACAATAGTTCGTGACGATTGTCATATTTATTTTGCAATCCTAGACTGCATTAGAATAAACTGAATTGTTTACCAGTGGTACACTGTTACAACTATAGTGAGATAATATTATATATAGCCAGTTAACTAGTCTTGCACCATGACTGTGGAATATATTTATTTCATGAATTTATCTTTTTTAAATCTAGAAACGCATACAAAAGCAAGTCTAGCAAGCTCTAGCTAGCTCTATTCAGGATAGGGATTTTTTATATTTTTAGAGTCAAGAAGGATATTGTGTTATATAACATTTCATAGACTACTGTTGATTATTGTTCTAATAGGTGTAATCATCCTTTCTTAATGGAAAGACTTCTGCCCGTATCCCCCTTCCAAAAGTGATATATATTTACATGTAGCATGTTTCTTCCAACTATATATGGGGCGGTCGGGTAGCCTAGTGGTTAAAGCGTTCGCTCGTCACGACGAAGACCCGAGTTTGATTCCCGACATGGGTACAATGTGTGAAGCCCATTTCTGGTGTCCCCCGCCGTGATATTGTTGGAATATTGCTAAAAGCGGCGTAAAACCATACTCACTCACTCACTCACTCCAACTATACATATTTATTTAGGGGATGGAAGTCTTACCGTCTCTCCGAAGGCAATACATATTTGATGGTATTATTTGTACAGCTGCGTATTACTGTGGTTACAATTAGTGAAGATGACACTGAACATAGGTTTAGTGTATGTGCAAGGTTAGAATTTAACTAGGGAGTAGAAATAATTGTCACTTTCACTTTTAAAGATTTATTTTTCAAACGAATTGAAAGGATGATTTTCTTCTGTCATATTTTGCAGAGTTGACTTAGAATGGGATAAGATTGGTGACAGGAAGCTATCCCAAAGAGTGAGAGATCAGCCAGATTCACAGGATGGGGAGGAAAGATGCAAGTAGTCATAGTGGTACAAGTGCACACCTCGCTCCAGTAGATCACTACAGAAAACAAATAGGTAATTTAATATATCATGATATCATGTTTATTATCCCCTGCCACGATATTGGGCAGGGGATATAAGGAACAGAGTTCATCCATCCAGCCTTCCGTCTCTCTGTCCATCTGACCACTTCTGAAAGTGGACAAATGTTCCAAAATTTTAGATACTGATATTACTGGTCATGATCTGAAATGAGTTCGAAAATTGGTGTCTTAAATTGATTTTTTTACAGAGTTATGGCCCTTACTCAATGCTTTTAAACTTTGTGCATACTGCGTGAAATGGGGACAATTTTTTTCAGAAAAAATTGAAATTAGATGATAGAAAGTTCGCATAATTATATAAGAGATACTGTCAAGACTGTTCATAATTGGTGCTGTAAATTATATTTTTACAGTGTTTTTGGTCTTGCTCCATGTTTTTCAACTTAGTAGTGTCTGCAGTGGGGTCAAGCTTTCTCAGAAACCTTTACTGACTGACTGAAAGTTTACAAGCTTATCTAAGAGATAGTTGTCAAGACTGTTAGAAAATTGGTCCTGTGATTTTTTCCAGAGTTACTTTGGGTACAATGTGTGAAGCCCATTTCTGGTGTCCCCCGCCGTGATATTGCTGGAATATTGCTAAAAGCGGCGTAAAACCATACTCACTCACTCACTCACTCCAGAGTTACTTCCCTTGCTACATGTTTTTAGATTTTGAGCATGCCGTTACGACCCTTGATCCATGTTAGTTTAGTGCAGAACGTCTGCAGTGGGGACAAGTCTTCTGATAAACTACTGAAGTTAGTTTATCTAAGAGATACTTATCAAGACAAGTTTGATAATTGGTGCCATAAATGTTTCCAGAGAAGGGTCCTTTTTATTAATTTCACATTTAATCATTTTTTCTGATGACATAAAGTGACCCTGGTGTCTATCTCTTCTTAAGGCTTAATAGGACTCATTTGTATGGTATATATTCACTACTATATGAGCAAACAAAATGCTAATGAGCCCCATGGCGGGGGATGGTGATAACACTGTTTTATGTCAAGGAGGACATTTGTCAAATACAGTGAAAACCCATGGGGTATAATTATATTGAATATTCAAAATAAAATGAAAGTACCCAATGGGAATGATTATGGTGGTCAAATACTTATCAGTAAAATAGTATCAGGAGCGCTGAATTAGTAAACCTGACTCAGTTTCCTCTTTCTCCAAGCTATTTATTCTTGTATTATTTTTGTTCATCTGTTAGTTGCAGTCAAGTTCAAGAGGACAGGCACAGTGTGTCCATTATTAGTGGAAAATGATTTGTTAGTACATGTAGATGATGTACATGAAGGAGCAGATATGATACAATTTTCCCATTTTTGTCCATCTCACAGGTAAACAAGATGTTAAAAAAAGTAAGAAAGATGCTAAAACCAAGAAAAGACAGACTGACCAGAAGAGATCAGCCATGACAATACAGGTGAGTGTGGGGCTATTCCAGGCTGGTAGGCCCTGCAAGTATTTTCTGACGCATAATTTTTCAGTTCACTTTGTTAATGAATTCATACTTCACATCCAAGGTTTGGGTCAAATTTCATATATTTCACAATGAGACTTACTGAATTTTTCTGCAATATCCATGATCCTATGGTACTACTGAGAACCTCTTTACCCCTAGTGAACAAAAAGGATTTTTTTCCAGAAAATAGTGAAAATAATAATTTGGACATGGGTTTAGAAAAGGTAGGTTGTTTACTGCATGTCCTGACAACAGTGTGTTGTAGGTCCCCAGCAAAAACGTCTGGACCATGATATAGAGTCAGAGAAAATGTTCCCTCTCAAACAACCCCCACCTCCCTTTGAATATCAAATAGTTAGTCCTGAACTTAATAATGTTGTTCAGCACAGTGTCCGAAATAACTGCCTGCCCATGGCTGGTAACTGTTCTGTTGGGCTGCATGAAATTTTCCTCCACCTGCCCCATTATCTTGCAGATAAGCTTAAGACTTCAGTTTTATGATAACTCCTTGTGAATTCTCAAGTAATTGTTTGCAATATTTCAACTGAATCAAAAATTATTTGTCTCTTAGTTTTTGCGATTTTTCAATTTTTATAATGCGTGAATGCAGGCGGGTAACTTTGACGATGGGCAGGCAACACTTATGGGTCACCTGTCCGATTGTCTTGTTGGGTTTAAAAAAAAATTCGAACACTGGTTCAGCATAATAAAGACTATAACTTTTTCATTCCATCAGAGTTGTTATCAGCACTGTGATATCAAATCAACTCTCTGCTGGTCTCAAACTACACATAACCCAATATATATGTATTTCCAATGTCCCAAGTGACTTGGCATCAATGAGGATTTTCTGTAACCACCAGGAGATTGTCCTGGTGACAGGGTCCGGACTGGCCATGCTGATTGGTCTCTACATGCTGCTGTTCTGGTATCTGGGGACATCAGAGTATGAGAATCCAGTGAAGGAGGAGCCGCTCTCGTAGATGGAACAATGGCTGCTGATCGGGGATTTATTTTCCGCAAACTTTGTGTTCAATGGCAAAACCATCAAGATTTTAAATTTAAGTTCAAAGGGGACTTTGTTCCATGTTCTGGTACCCGTTTCTAGTATAGTGTGTAGAGACATTGTAATTAGTGCTCTGTGAGAAACTGAAACATTGTCCATGTGTAGTTCAGGAAATAATAAACCACTAGGTGGATATATGTCATAATATGTAACTGACAAACAAAGTAGTGTTTAAATGACTTGATCAAGCCTGCTGGGACTGTCAATTTGCCAGAGCTGAGTATCTCTTTAAGGATCCTTAAGATTCAAACTTTTCGCCATTGAATCTTTTAATATTTACAGCTTCTTATACTGATGTGGTTCAATCATTCCTTGTTTTCCAAGCAGTACATCAAATCATCACTGAACACCGCTCCATTCTCAGTTAACAGGGTTGGCATAGTTTGATTGTGTGAGTGAGTTAAACTATAAAGCTGCATCGACATTATTTCAGCCATACATTTACGAGAACAAGTTTTAATTTCTACAAGGGGTTTCCATGGAGCAATATTCAGTCACATATTCAAGTCGTGTTCCTATGCAAGCATGTGATTTTTGTCTGCACAAATTTCTGCTGTTATTATGAGATTGCTATGGTATTTTTAAATGACACATTTAATTTAATAGCTTTTGACATGTGACCATACATGAATGTTTTGGGGAATATGGTGACAGACTTGATTCAATTACTTTATTCTTGTCTCTGCATAATTAACAATGACAATCACTATGTGCCAAGAATGTAATAATGTTTTGATGAACAATCCAACTTTTCACCACAGTAGTTCGTAATAATTCATACGTGAAGTTGTTATATTACTTAAAAAACCTATAAAAAAGGGCAGCATAAACAGACTGGTCGAGGGCGGACCTGTTAACTTTAATGTTTGGTGGAATGGAAGAAGGTTTCGTCTATGTATGTCATGTGGTGGTCCTTTGTGTTTAAAAAACTGTTGTGATGTCTTTTTTTTATTATAAGTATGAAGAAATGAAATTAGAATGTTATAAATGCAAAATAATGGAGATGGCTTGTTAGTTTCACAACTTGTCTAATCCATTTGTCTTCTGACAATAAAATATGTTTAACATTGAAAAAAAGAGAAAATGGTGGCTTTTTTAGTTATATAGAGAAAATGGTTTCTTTTTTAGTTATTTGGATAGATTTCTGGTTACACAAGATAGACACAATTTTATTGATAACAACTTCTTTAATACTGTGTTATCCATAAAATTGTGTCTATCTTGTCATCCGTCAACTTCTAAGTTATGCATATCAAACAAGATTTCTGGTAAAAGCGTTGTCTCTGACTGGGTTCCATTCCCCACGTGTACAATATGTGAAGCTAGTTCTTGGTATCCCCTGTGATGTCTTGGGATAATGCTAAAAGCAGATTCAAAACTCTTTCTAGCAATGGTGTGTGAAAACCATCTTGACAACTTTAGCCAAAAATGGGTCTCCAGCCTTACAACACAATCCTAGACTTCGTATGAACTTAGTTTATTTCTTCACCATTGTACATGCCACCAACAAGATATATACTGTAACCATGGTAACAAGCCTGTACACAACATATCAATGTACATGAAGAACTTAAATACACTAATATGCATAAAAGTATGTACAAGTATGTACATATGTAAAACTATGACAATAAACAATGTAAAACTGAAACGGTTCTGTGTTTTGTGCCATCGTTCATGACAGGAAGTCCAGACTCAAGTTCATGACGGGTGACGACATGAAACCATTTTATGGATAACAATTTCTTTATTGTTTGAATTAATTCAGGGCTACTGGTTACCTCTTCATCTTGCCCTGAAATGTAACAAATAATTCAAAAGTTATCCATGAAAAGTTTCATGTCTTCATGTTCTGTCCCCCTGTAAATGCCTGGCGAAGACTTGAATTCCCAAGTGAGTTTTAACACTGACAGGCCTGTATCCTGTCTGTGCTACTGCTGGGAATGATTCATTGGGAAGGGACTCTTTTGAGAACCGGGTTTGGCAAAATTGACATTCATTGGTATTAATGTCCGTCATCCCATCTTTCTGAACGGTGTTGGCTAATGGTACTGGACATGTATACTACAACTGAAAGGTGCATGAAGACAGCCATCTTCCCAATGTCAACCAGCCTATATCAAAGCCTAGATTCCTGAGGCAAGCATGTCTACCAGCCAATATCAAAGCCTTGTTTCCTGAGGCAAGCGTGTCCACCAGTCAATATCAAATATCAATAGCTTCACAGAGATTGGTTACTACCATAGGCAACGACCTAGTCGATCAGATAACGAAAACATTCGCAATTTCATCCCTGACACAAAAACATAGGCAATCATTGGGGGGTTTAAAGGATAAAAATGACATTTTAATGTCAACAAAGACAGGCAGTGGTAAATCACTTTCATACGAAGGTGTACAGTGGTGGATGTCTCTGACTGGACTATTGATATGTGCAATAGTCCAAATATATTTAGCACAGGAAAGTGGGCTTGATGTGGCAAGGGTGGAAACAAGACTTTGATAAAAAGGCTAGTCGACACTCTTGCCTCGGGAAGGTGGGAGTCAGCTGTCTGATAGTTTACATAGTGATATAAGGCTAAACTGTGGTAGAAGGACAAACATGCAGGCTTACATCAATACGCTGCTTGATAAACTACCGGTAACAACAATGTTCATTCATTGCTCTGTGCAACAACAAAATTTATGGACTTGTTTTTTCATTTACTAACCATTCTAACAGTCTTTTCTTAACATTTCTAACCAAAAATATTATATTTTTATATTTTAACATTAGATAATGATTTATCAATGTGAAAGTCAAGAAAGAAGATTTTATAGGTAAAAGAAAATAGTCTTGATTCTCTTCCCATCTTCATCAGTAAAATGCCAGGATGTAACAGCATCTTATTTCTGTTTTTTACCTGGGTAGCACATTTATTTTCTACGCAAAAGAGATACTGCCAAGTTCCATAGAACCAGTTGTTTTTAGTAAGCTGATACAAATCTGTCCAGCACAACCATGGTAAAGCATGGGGGTCACACTCTCCCTCACATGCTGGGAATACCATGCCATGGTAATGTGGCATCACTCAGCACTCCCTCACACACTGGGAATACCATGCCATGGTAATGTGGCATCACTCAACACTCCCTCACACACTGGGAATACCATGCCATGGTAATGTGGCATCACTCAACACTCACTCACACACTGGGAATACCATGCCATGGTAATGTGGCATCACTCAACACTCTCTCACACACTGGGAATACCATGCCATGGTAATGTGGCATCACTCTGCACTCTCTCACACACTGGGAATACCATGCCATGGTAATGTGGCATCACTCAACACTCACTCACACACTGGGAATACCATGCCATGGTAATGTGGCATCACTCAACACTCACTCACACACTGGGAATACCATGCCATGGTAATGTGGCATCACTCAACACTCCCTCACACACTGGGAATACCATGCCATGGTAATGTGGCATCACTCTGCACTCTCTCACACACTGGGAATACCATGCCATGGTAATGTGGCATCACTCAGCACTCCCTCACACACTGGGAATACCATGCCATGGTAATGTGGCATCACTCAACACTCTCTCACACACTGGGAATACCATGCCATGGTAATGTGGCATCACTCTGCACTCTCTCACACACTGGGAATACCATGCCATGGTAATGTGGCATCACTCAACACTCACTCACACACTGGGAATACCATGCCATGGTAATGTGGCATCACTCAACACTCACTCACACACTGGGAATACCATGCCATGGTAATGTGGCATCACTCAGCACTCCCTCACACACTGGGAATACCATGCCATGGTAATGTGGCATCACTCTGCACTCTCTCACACACTGGGAATACCATGCCATGGTAATGTGGCATCACTCAACACTCTCTCACACACTGGGAATACCATGCCATGGTAATGTGGCATCACTCAACACTCTCTCACACACTGGGAATACCATGCCATGGTAATGTGAGGTCACTGATTACTCTCACACACATACAACGCCATGGGATAGTGTGATGATGCATCACTTAACACTCTCTCTCACTCACACACACACTCACGCACGCACACTGGGAATACAACACCATGGTAATGTGCGGCACCACTTTAACACACTTCCTCACACACACACACACACACACACACACACACACACACACACACACACACACACACACACACACACACACACACACACACACACACACACACACACACACACACACACACACACACACACACACACACACTGGGAATACAACACCATGGTAATGTGTGGCACCACTTTAACACACTTCCTCACACTCACACACACACACACGCACGCACACTCGAAATACAACAACATGGTAATGTGTGGCACCACTTTAACACACTTCCTCACACTCACACACACACACACGCACGCACACTCGGAATACAACAACATGGTAATGTGTGGCACCACTTTAACACACTTCCTCACACACATACTGGGAATACAACACAATGGTGCTGAGCACACAAAAGACACAGCCAGACAATATTTCAGCAGATTGGTGAACTACGATGAAATCTGGTTGGCATCGCAACTAGCTCTTGTGAACAAGGCTGTGAACTTTATCCCGGTTGTGTAGATTAGCCTTGAGAAGGAACTCCAGCCACTGTTGGTCTCCCTCCCCCGTCATGTGAGAGTGCCTGCAGAAAGAAGCAGCGGTAATCATGTCCACTTCGTTGACTAAGTGTTTGTTTGTTTGTTTGTTTGTTTGTTTGTTTGTTTAACGCCACACTCAGCAATATCCCATGTAAATGACGGCGGTCTGTAAATAATCGAGTCTGGCCCAGACAATCCAGTGATTGACATCATGAGCATTGATCCACATAATTTGGATACGATGACATGCATCAACCAGGTCAGCGAGCCTGACCACCCGATCCCGTATGTCGCCTTTTACGACGAGCAAAGTCGCCTTTTACAGCAAGCATGGGTTGCTGGAGACCTATTCTACCCCAGATCTTCACACGTGTGTGGACTAAGTGAGCGAGTTGTGTTTGACGCCATTTTCAACATATCATTAATATAATGAGCTTGTGTCAGCTTCATGTGGCATGGAAAGCCTGACGTGATGCGGGTCTTAGACAATTACAACTTTGGCGATACCCACGAGCATGGGTATGGTGCTGGCAAACCTAGAAACATAATCAGGGTGGATCGGGATTCGAACCCACGATAATAATCAAAATAATAAAAGTTCATTTATATGGCGCTGTACTGCATTCATAAGCATGCTTTAAGCGCTTAGACAATTGATCAGTGTACACTCAACAATCATTCTCAGCTCCCTGGGGAGTATACAATGATCACAGGTTTCTTGCACACCTAATTCTGTATGGGGAATGTGTTGTGTTAGAACATGTCCTCCCCCCCCCCCCCCCCCCCCCCCCCCCGACTCACTTCTTAGAGCAACATGTTAAGCAGATACCAGTTTGAACTTTAATACTGATCAGATCTTGATCATGTTGATGTGAAACTGGAAAGTGAAGTACAGATTAAGTTTACTGTAAACTATATTTGTGCAGTGTCTGCTGAGAGGACTTACTTGAGGAACTGAAGGTACTTCTCCACACAAGCTGATAGGTCGTCCGTCTGTAACATGCAGTGTGAGGAGTTAGTGAAAGAAAGGTGACATTCATGTTGTCAACTTTGTACAAATAAAACTTGAGACTTTGAAAATACTAGTTTCTCCGATTTTGCATCTCAGTTCTCAACGATTCTGTTATGTAAAATTTCAGGTTTTCAAACCTATGTTTTTTAATGTGTGTGTATTGTTTCAGCAATATTCCAGCTACATGACGGAGTCCTGTAAATACAGTAAACTATGTTTATAATGAACACGCTGAACAAACTGACGGATATAAAGAACTATTTTGGGGCCTTGTCCATTTGCTGTATGTATTCTGTACATTTGCTTATAACAAAATATGGTTATAACGAATTGAAATAAGTGGTCCCTTTGAGTTCATTATAGCCATAGTTTTACTGTAATCAAGTCTGGACAAAAAATACAGGGATTGATACGGTGAACAACGATCCACATCATTAGGTGAGTGAGTGAGTGAGTTGGGTTTAACGCCGCTTTTAACAGTATTCCAGTTATATCACGGCGTGTCACCTTAATGTGGGAGGAAAGCCCGAAGTGATGCAGGTCTCAGATGTTTACCACTTCGGTGAAACCCACGAGCACGGGTATGGTGCTGACAAACCTAGAAACATAACTGGGGCGAACCGGGATTCGAAACCAAAATCATAGGTTTCTGGCGTGTCCAAGGGACGCAACTCTGCACAGCGAATTGCGGCGCCTTAGACGACTGGGCCACCCATGCTCCCCACACCATTAGGGTATGATGCCATGCAATCAACACACCGATCCTGACCACCCCATCCATTTAGTCACCTCCTACGACCTGTATGGGTTACTGAGGAGCTATTCTAACCCGGCATCCTTGTTTGTTTGTTGTTTAACGCCACACTCAGCAATATCCCAGCTAAATGACGGCGGTCTGTAAATAATCGAGTCTGGACCAGACAATCCAGTGATTGACATCATGAGCATCGATCCACGCAATTGGGATCGATGACATGTATCAACCAAGTCAGCTAGGCCTGACCACCCGATCCCGTTAGTCGCCTTTCACGACAAGCATGGGTTGCTGAAGACCTATTCTACCCCGGAATCTTCACGGGTCGCATCCTGTTGAGAATATTCCCCCTTTACAAGGAAGTTTGCGTACATGCTTCATGATACTCTGGTACACCATGGGAGGGTAGAGGCAGGCGGCAAGGTTGTCCGTGGCAGGACTCAAGTTGCCCAGATGGTCCACCAGATCGTCAAGCTGAGCGATGTTAGCCTCAGTGTCACATACAGCGTTCTGCTTGACCGATTCCTTGGACTTCTTCAGCAGTGACTTGACGGTTTTGATGAGACCCATACATGCAGTCAAGACTTCCTTGTCCGAGTCCGTCCATGTGTCCTCATTAGACATCACAAAGCCATCAGCAATCAGCAGCTCGTCAAGGTCATCTGCCTGACCTTCATTGTCCAGGGCCTACAGAAGAACGAATAGTGAACTAGGTGTCATACAGTTGGCAGAAGTGACTTGTGTACATGAAAATTGAGTGAGTGAGTGAGTGAGTGAGTATGGTTTTGTGCCGCTTTTAGCAATATTCCAGCAATATCATGGCGGGGGACACCAGAAATGGGCTTCACACATTGTACCCATGTCAGGAATTGAACCTGTGTTAAACCTTGTTAAACCTCAAGCAGACGAACTAGCAGTTAATACTGTGCATTGTATTGTATTGCATTGCATTGCATTGCATTGCATTGCATGTGCAGATCTGATTTTTGTTTCTTTGTTATTTAACGCCACACTCAGCAATATTCAAGCTATATGACGGCGGTCTGTAAAAAATTCTCTGGACCAGACAATCCAGTGATTGACATCATGTCAGATTAATGTGGGCAGATTACCAAATATGAGGCAGCTCGTAACAGTTTTTCACTTCATTGAAACTCACAAGCACTGTTCCAACAGGTCAAGGATCATATGGCTTAAAAAAATAAAAGAATTGGTTCTCATGCAATTACTTTTGAAAAGATAATGCGGGCGGGCGGGCAGTGTTTTGTTTTTTGCTTGTTCAAATTAGTATGTAACCAAATAAACAGTTGTGTACCATCAACCTGGTAAAGGGCCTCCCTACCTAAACAAGCATACAAACTCCTATAGCTCCAATGACCATAACACCGATGCACAGTAAAGCAGTGCGCATGTAAAGGGAAGTAACTGTACTATATTGGATTGCATTGTGTTAAAGTATTAGGATTTTTAAAGAAAAATTTAAATGGAAATAAAAACAAACTGTGCGGCAGACTTTCTGATGATGCAGGCGGTGCCTGAGAACCAAGACTATTAATTTTTTTAGCCTAACTGAGGAAAATCAGGATTCTTGCACATAAAACTCTACAGAGTGATCTGCAGCACCTAAGTCAACAGATCACTGGTGCCTAGGGTGGTATTCAGCCATTGTGAACAACCAATCTTCTATGTAGCACTGCCCTCTCTCATGGGTGTAGTGTTATGATACCCTCACACCTATGGGTGAGCTGTATCCCCAAGCCTCCCACACAACACTGTGTCCCCGTCTCACCTCTTGCAGCTCATGTAATGCATCCCTCACTAACTCCGACGTCTCTTCAAGTATGGCCAGTGCGGCTCTCTGGTTATCTGGGAAGAGATTTATTAAACTCAGTAACATATAAATATTTTTTTTACGTTTGTACACTTTGTATACTTATCCTGCATTACTCCTTAATGCATCTATTGATTACCTTACAACAAAGAAAGACAGTGTTTTGCGATGGGACGGGGTGAAGAAAAATGTTGTTTCCATCTTCAGTCTCCTTTTTGTAGGACCCATTGTTTCTGTCATGTGACAGATCGTGACGTCACACCAAATTATATTCTTGCTCATTGTGCTGCTGGGAAGTTGTGCTGTCTTTCTTTGTCGTAAGGAAGGCAATAGATGCATTAAGTAGTAATGCAGGATAAGTAAAATATTTATACTTGTAATAGGTTCTCTATATCACCTACAGTGTGAGTGAGTTGGGTTTAACGCCGCTTTTAACAGTATTCCAGTTATATCGCGGCGTGTCAGCTTAATGTGGGAGGAAAGACCCAAGTGATGCAGGTCTTAGACGTTTACCACTTCGGTGAAACCCACGAGCACGGGTATGGTGCTGACAAACCTAGAAACATAATCAGGGCGAACCGGGATTCGAACCCACAATCATAGGTTTCTGGCGTGACCAGGGGACGCAACTCTGCACAGCGAATCGCGGCGCCTTAGACAACTTGGCCACCCGTGCCCCCTATATCACTTACAATCAAAGTATCATATTGACTGACAACAGAAAACCAGGGTAGCCCAGGTACAGAAGCTCACCTTCCAATTTCACCTCACCTTCAAATGATAAGGAAACCAGTGTGTGCCCAGTGACCGGTGACCATTAACATGATTAAGATTACATCGCAGGAACAGCAATAGTAAGTGAGTGAGTATGGTTTTATAACGCTTTTAGCAATATTCCAGCAATATCCCGGCGGGGGGACACAAGAAATGGGCTCACACATTGTACCCATGTCGGGAATCGAACCAGGGTCCTTTGTGTGACAAGCGAATGCTTTAACCACTAGGCTACCTTCCCCACTACTGGTATTGACACAGTCTATCACAGTAAGGTTCACTGGTGCGATGCTTCCTGAAATAAAGGTACACGTTACAGTACTACTCTCCCTCTCACCTTTAGGTAGAGTTGAGAGGATTTCTGCTCCATGCCACACAATGCCAGTAGCTCGCATCTGCTCCTGGGACCTGTCAACACACACACAACATGGTACAGAATAGCCAACAGGAGTAAGGTGACGCGGCTTTTAGGAATATTCCAGCAATATCACAGCGGGGGACACTGAAACGTGCTTCACACACTGGTACCATGTTGGGTTGGGAATCAAACCTGGCTTCCTGGCATGATGAGCCAACATTTCTGATGTTCCACACAAGTTATGCAGAGTTATGTCCCTTTGACGTGCAAGCAACCTATGTTGATGGGTTCAAACACTGTAGGGCTTGGACGAGTTTCCACCCCTGCCGAATTGGGATGAAATTTCTGGGCTTAATCGTAGCGCCACCAGTGGCCATTACGAATTATGTCCCTTCTATGGCCTTCTTATTGACCAATTAGATTCCACCTCTCATATCACTTGCATTTTCTTCAAACAAAATGGCGGTGCCCAGTCTACACGATCTGATCGATGATCAAGATATGTATTGTAACAGAACAAGTCTCATCTCGGGAAGTGCATCAAATCACATGAGCACCTTGATTAAAAACATGAAAAGATTTGGAAAATATATGTCATCACTGAGTTGACGGTACACATCAATTACAGATCCTGCAGTCGACCGAAATCTGCACGTTGAAATCCATGTTGTTTACAAACCGGATGTCGATTGTGTTATGCAATTTTGATTGGACTATGCATAGACCAGCCAAAATATAACTCCATAATTCCAGCCTAGTTTGGCAAGGGTGGAAACTGGACTTACAGTCAGTTCACTCCCTTGCCTCAGGAAGATGATACCTTGGGCATGACAACAATGAAGCGAGATGTGGATGTGTTGCTAAATATTCACCTTAATGGTAGTCGGCCAATCAAATCAGCTGTTTCATTCAGAGTTAGTTACAGTCAAGTCCGTTAATCCGACATAGTTGGTTGCATATGATTATGTCGGATTAACGAGTATATCGGACAAACGAAATTAAATTACATGAAAGATAGCAATACAAACATATTGAAATAAAAAAACGAAAAATGAAATATTCATATCATTATGTTACCTTGTTAGCTGAATATGTTTTGTAATCAAAGCTAAAAACAAAACTACTGTTACAGACTGTATGACTTATTCACAATACTTTAAAAAGCATAGTCTGGAATGGCAGTCATCAGTTTGAAACTGGTACCGCAAAGCTCAAGAAAGCTGCTTTCTTAGTGGCTTATGTCGACTTCCTGTTAGTCATTTCATTGGTCGGTCATAGTTCGTGAAAGGTCGTTCTGACGTGACCTGTATTGGGTTGTCCTCGAGAACTTGTATCTGATTTTATGAGATTGTGATTAATCCTGTTTTGCTTATTTAAAGTATTAATTGTTTATTGCAAAACAAGTTTATCTCTGCAGCCGTTGTAATATGCAGCTACCAGCCGACTCATCTCACATCAAAACATGGGGCTGTGTACTCGCGGGCAGATGACCACGGAGTACACTGATCACTGTGTCAGATTAACAAGACTGATAATTCGGTAATTCGTTGCAAATTAGGTCTGTCGGAGTCGGAGTGCAAGACTGTCGGATTATGGGGCCTAAATAGCAATGATTTAATCAGTTCCAAACATTAGTGTCGGATAAAGCCGACTGTCGGATTGTTGGATAAACGAGACTTGATTGTATTGGGATTTAAACCTCTGCTTGACTACCGGGTAATCAGAAATGAGTATTTTATAAATTCATGGTAGAATCAATGTCCCAGCCTGTTCACCTACCCTAGATCGTAGTCTGCGATGTTCTGAGCCAAGCTCTTGACACTCTCCATTATATTCAGAACAGCCTTCTTCAGAGCCTTTCTTAGTGTCACACCTGTCATAGAAACACTAAAATTGTATCTCACACTAATTTGATAAAACATGGTTTAATGAAACAAGTCACTCCATTGTATCTCTGTTTTGTTTGTTTGTTTGTTGTTTAACGCTGCACTCAGCAAAATTCCACTATATGACGGCAGTCTGCAAATAATTGAGTTGGGACCAGACAATCCAGTGACTGACATCATGAGCATCAATCTACACAATTGGGATACAATGACATGTATCAACTAAGTCAGCGAGCCTGACCACCCGATCCTGTTAGTCACTTCTTACAACAAGCATAGTCGCCTTTTACAACAAGCATAGTTGCCTTTTACAGCAAGCATGGGTTGCTGACGATCTATTCTACCCGGATCTTCATTGCTCTTGTATCTCTGTCAACCAGTGAGTCACTGGATGAATATCGTAAGGTGCCAAAGTCAACAATATACCAATTATTGCAGGTTTGTAAATAATGGGGTCTTTTCCAGACAAACCATTGTGGGAATCAATATTATCAGCATTGACATTATCAGTGTTGGATCAAATTCATTCTGATTAACAAGGCATACAAATTACCCAAGAAAACATATATGGGTTTTTTTTACAAACAAGACTCGTGGCTCAACTTACATGACATTTAACTTAGTCTCGACTTAAATGACATAGCTGTGTCTCAACTTACATGACATTTACCTGTCTCAACTTATATGACATTTACCTGTGTCTCAACTTACATGACATTTACCTGTGTCTCAACTTACATGACATACCTGTGTCTCAACTTACATGACATACCTGTGTCTCAACTTACATGACACACCTGTGTCTCAACTTACATGTCATACCTGTGTCTCGACTTACATGACATACCTGTGTCTCAACTTACATGACACACCTGTGTCTCAACTAACATGACACACCTGTGTCTCAACTTACATGACATACCTGTGTCTCGACTTACATGACATACCTGTGTCTCAACTTACATGACATACCTGTGTCTCGACTTACATGACATACCTGTGTCTCAACTTACATGACATACCTGTGTCTCAACTTACATGACATACCTGTGTCTCGACTAACATGACACACCTGTGTCTCGACTTACATGACACACCTGTGTCTAGACTTACATGAAACGTCTGTCTCAACTTACATGACACACCTGTGTCTCGACTTACATGAAACGTCTGTCTCAACTTACATGACATACCTGTGTCTAGACTTACATGAAACGTCTGTCTCAACTTACATGACACACCTGTGTCTAGACTTACATGAAACGTCTGTCTCAACTTACATGACATACCTGTGTCTAGACTTACATGAAACGTCTGTCTCAACTTACATGACACACTTGTGTCTAGACTTACATGAAACGTCTGTCTCAACTTACATGACACACCTGTGTCTAGACTTACATGAAACGTCTGTCTCAACTTACATGACATACCTGTGTCTCGCCTTACATGACATACCTGTGTCTCAACTTACATGACATACCTGTGTCTCAACTTACATGACACACCTGTGTCTCGACTAACATGACATACCTGTGTCTCAACTTACATTACACACCTGTGTCTCAACTTACATGACACACCTGTGTCTCGACTTACATGACACACCTGTGTCTAGACTTACATGAAACGTCTGTCTCAACTTACATGACACACCTGTGTCTCGACTTACATGACACACCTGTGTCTAGACTTACATGAAACTTCTGTCTCAACTTACATGACACACTTGTGTCTCGACTTACATGACATACCTGTGTCTCAACTTACATGACATACCTGTGTCTCAACTTACATGACATACCTGTGTCTCAACTTACATGACACACTTGAGTCTCAACTTACATGACAGTCTGGGCTGCACAGCCCTTGACATACAGTTCTTACCATATGACTTAACATACAGTTCTTACCATGTGACTTGACATACAGTTATTACCATGTGACTTGACATACAGTTCTTACCATGAGACTTGACATACAGTTCTTACTATGTGACATGACATACAGTTCTTATGTGACTTGACATACAGTTCCTACCATGTGACATGACATACAGTTCTTATGTGACATGACATACAGTTCCTACCATGTGACATGACATACAGTTCTTACCATGTGACTTGACATACAGTTCTTACCATGTGACTTGACATACAATTCTTACCATGTGACTTGACATACAGTTCTTACCATGAGACTTGACACAGTTCTTACCATGTGACTTAACATACAGTTCCTACCATGTGACATGACATACAGTTCTTACCATGTGACTTGACATACAGTTCTTACCATGTGACTTGACATACAGTTCTTACCATGTGACTTGACATACAGTTCCTACCATAAGACTTGACATACAGTTCCTACCATGTGACTTGACATACAGTTCTTACCATGTGACTTGACATACAGTTCTTACCATGTGACATGACATACAGTTCTTACCATGTGACTTGACATACAGTTCTTACCATATGACTTGAAATACAGTTCTTACCATGTGAGTTGACATACAGTTCTTACCATGTGACTTGACATACAGTTCCTACCGTGTGACTTGACATACAGTTCTTACCGTGTGACTTTGCATACAGTTCTTACCATGTGACTTTGCATACAGTTCTTACCATGTGACTTTGCATACAGTTCTTACCATGTGACTTTGCATACAGTTCTTACCATGTGACTTGACATACAGTTCTTACCTTGTGTCTTGGGAAAGGAGTAGTAGGCAGACACTAGAGCCAGGGTGGCTTTCTCCAGGGATGTAATCATGAGCTGTGAATGCTGCAACAATCAACAGACAGGTAGATATATTAATATTGTGTATCTTACCACTTTTGCACTGAGCATGTTAGCAGTAAATGTGCCTGCTTGACCTGAACATGTTGCATTGGTTACTCACCTCAGGTGGCGGGGCTGGTGGTTTGGAGAATGCCATGGACAGTTTGGTAGCTTCATTTGATATGGCTGTAAATATTGTCCCTGGAAACATGAAGTTTGCTGTATAATCGTATTGTGCTAATTAAGTAAGGGGAGCACACGCCAAAGGAAATGTGCTCTGTAGGACAACAAACAATCATGATAATGAGATCAGAAATAATTGACAAACCAACACTGTGAGTGAGTGAGTGAGTATAGTTTTACGCCGCTTTTAGCAATATTCCAGCAATATCACGGTGGGAGACACCAGAAATGGGCTTCACACATTGTACCCATGTTGGGAATTTAACCCAGGTCTTCGGCGTGACGAGTGAACGCTTTAACCACTAGGCTACCCGACCTCCCAAACCAACACTGTGAATATTCCAGTGAATATTCCAGTAGCTCCAGCCTTTGATGTCTACATTTCACAACTTTTGACATTGTTTGTTTGTTGTTTAATGCCGCACTCAGCAATATTCCTGTTATATGACGGTGGTCTGTAAATAATCGAGTCTGGACCAGACAATCCAGTGATTGACATCATGAGCATCGATCAACGCAATTGGGATACAATGACATGCATCAACCAAGTCTGCACTCAGCAATAGATAGCAGTCTCAATCTCATTAAAATCAGATCTTAGTTCTCGCTACAGCTAAACAAAGATAACAGTAGGTCCAATTCTGTTTCTCACAACCTGAGTGATAGCTGTGGTACTAAATATGTTTAACAAGATGACAATAATATGGCAAGAGTGAGTGAATGAGTGAGTTGGGTTTAACGCCGCTTTTAACAGTATTCCAGTTATATCACAGCGTGTCAGCTTAATATGGGAGGAAAGCCCGAAGTGATGCAGGTCTCGGACATTTACCACTTCGTTGAAACCAACGAGCATGGGTATGGTGCTGACAAACCTAGAAACATAATCAGGGAGAACCGGGATTCGAACCCACATAGGTTTCTGGCGTGCCCAAGGGACGCAACTCTGCACGGCAACTCGCGGCACCTTAGACAACTGGGCCACCCGTGCCCCCTAATATAGCAAGAATCTTCCCATACCTAAGTGACTCCAATAGGCCTGACGATCAAACTCATCCTTTTCATCCCTCTGCGACTCTCCCTCTGCAACAGTCAGACACAGTATACATTCCCGGTCCTCTCAAGGTCATGTACACTACTCAACATTCGAAAGGGATATTCTGAGTGCCCAGGTGGGGCATAAACCTGACTGGTTGTTTGGAGATGTTGTCGTACAAATAGGATGATTTTTAGACTTGGAAATGACACATGTAAACATTTTTAAGGTACATTTCAAGAAATAAAAAAAACTCATTTTAACATGCATCAGGTCCAGACCAAATCGCATCCTATTCATACGACAACATCTCCAAATTTATCTCCCACCTGGACACTGAGAATATCTCTATCAAATGTTGACTTGTATATGTTGATACACCCCAGTAGTTACACTGGTTGCTCGCGAGTTACTGTGGAGTAAACATGGTAATGGTATTCAACAGATGCTGTTATCATAACAAAGGGCACAGGTGGCCCTGCTGTATTACTGTCATGCAGGTGAGGTGAAATGGGGTTTAACATCGCGTCCAAGATTATTGCACTTATATAGCCAAGTTGTGTCTGTTAGACATGTTAGATGTGCCTGAACCGACAGGTCGTGATTATGATCCCTTGGTTATCAGCATCAAACGTGACATATAAACACAAGGGGTAGGTCAGTACACAGAGCAACAAATGACTTTCGTTTTCAATCTGGAATCCTTATACACAGTTCACTTTCAATGAAATATACCAGTAGTTTAAGTGGGACCTGGCACAGGTCAATTGGCAGGTCTAGCTAGTTTCAGTCAAGTAATCAAACATCACTTGATACACTTTGGTGTGGAAGATAAGATGTAAATAAGATGGTACTACTGGTGCTTGGCATTAATGGAATAAAACAAGGAGAGGTTGGCTCAGAGTCCATATATCTGAGTGGGGCATCAATGTTAAACTGTGGCAAAGTATCTAGTCAACGCTAGTACAAGCAATTTAAGTGCAATAATCTTGGAACACAACATTAAACCACATTTCACCCCATCTCACGCACTTTGCCTTCTTACTTTGTCATGCAGGAGTGTTTGAAATAAGTGGGGTCCTTGAGGTTTGTCACGATTGTGTTTGAACCTAGGGACCCCTAAACCTTTTAACAATATCATTAGCAGTGGATGGGGCAATGACATGGACCCATTTACTTTCACGCTTAATTTCAAACACTGTGATGCATATCAAGAATATCTAGCAGTCAATGATTACCCTTTTTACACAAATATAACATCTCAGTTTCAAACATGACACAAACAACAACTGCAAGACTGTAGTTTGTCATGTTTGTCCAGCTCAGTTATATGGTGCTAATTGTCTCACTGATCTTGCATGTTTCTTCAGTCCTTAGAATTAGGGTAGGTTACCACAAACTAGGGCTGGGACGAGTCCAAATTTACTACCTGGGTACCTACTATAGGTCTCAAAGATATAAATTGTTCAATGGGAATAGTTTGTCCGTAGCCCTGGACAAAATGTATTAAGATAGACATATAAAACAATCTGGTCATGCATACAAAGAAAGTGACTGAAGTTTTATCTTTATTCAAACATATGAATGGAATGGGTGCATAGTCAGAAAGAAATGCGAACATTAGTGACTTGTAGTGTAAGCATAGAGTTCTAGATGAGATTTGTCATTAAACAATATGTCACATGACTAACCACGGGTCCGAGCATTACTGTGGGTACCCGGGTCCTACTCAGTACCCACTCGACCCGAGTACCTGAGTTACTCGTCCCAGCCCTACCCCAAACACTACTCTTAGCACCTATCAGCACTGCCATCCATGGTTTCATTGTAAAGTATTGGCTAATCATCTGTCTCATCAGTCTAGCCTAGCTTCAAACTGTCAATGTGAGTTTGATCCTTCTCTGTGAACGTGGTGCTAATTAGAATCCAGAAATGCACAACAGACTGTGGAAGATAATCCCTCTGAATAAACAGATAAGGGGATATGGCCACCCATATCGAACGCAGGACAGGGTGACAAACAAGAACAATCTTTATGTTTTGGAATGACGCTCCAGGGGATCGAACCACCGTCCTTCCACTCTCCGAGCATACGCCCTATCCACTACACCACGGTTGCACAACGTACGAGCAATCTGATGTGGATGCATATAAACATTAGAGCTATTTACAAAGTAGGCTTATGACCATTTCTCATTAAAATCAAGGATTGAATGTAGACGAACGACAAATATATGACAACCTCTTATTTGCGACAATACTAGCTGTAGATTGTCAACAAAGTTTCTCATGACATTCACATGCGCTCCCTTTTCCGCCATTGTTGTTTACACCGGAAGTCATGGAAAGGAGTAAACTCTACACATCACTTTTTTCTACAGCTATTGTTTATAAGCGCCTCCTCTCAGCAGAATTGTGGTCCGATTTATCAAAAAGTAACACTCGCAATAGTGAAATTTGATTATTAGTGTTTTTGGGTCGTGATAAGGCTCTAAATGAAATCGAAAGATTAATTTTAACATTAGTTACCATACATTTGTGGCTTGTTTTGATACTGAAAGTTATGTGGTAATTTTTATTTTTTTTGTTAGACATTGGTATTCATTGGTAACGAAGTATAAAATTTATTGTTCCGCTGATCAAGTTTTGAACTTTTCTGTACCGCTTATTCTAGAATCATGGCTGACGACGATTTGGAAGCTATTCGTGCTCGCCGCATGGCCGAGCTTCAACAACAGTATGGGGTGGGTACATTCGTTTAGCTTGTAGCGTGTGATGTTAACAAACCCTAAACCTAATATGGGAACAGAAAATTTCGATGGAAGAACAAATCGACTTCCCCAAAATACAAATTCAAAATCAGTTGACACTTCTCATCAAATCAAAAACAGTAGGATCTAACAGTTGCTAAGTAATCGAGAGGCCCGAGGAGCCCCAACCGTCAAAGCCAAGACTCTGCCTTTGAATGATGGGCACCCTCATGGCTCGCGTCATGTGGTAGTGATGCATAAAATTTACAGAAAGGTTTCGTGTTCAGAACCGAATCCCTGTGCTGTTGCATAGAAACGATTTTGATTGTGAATTGTCGCAAATAACGTGTGTGATCTTTTACCCCAACTCATTGTTGCTACCAAAAGCTTACATTATAGACAGGCCATAAGATGGCTATATACGTTTACAGGAAGGTACCTGGAGCACATTTCTGTAGTACCTGTTCATACAACAACCCCTCAAGTTTTCAATGTGTATTCCCAAATAATATGAACACGGTGAATCTAGGAATGAACAAAGCGTTTTTATGTACTATTCTGTTGGTGCTGATGCCAAAATCTAGAGATGCGTGGTGCTCTGGGACATGTTGAATACCATGGCTAAAACTGACTGTAATTCTCCTCCTTGCAGTCATATAACAAAAAATGATAAGGGCAGCAATTCTTTATTATACACGCACAATGCTACTTAATGGGCATTTCGGATAAGAATAGGTTCCTAGTGGCATATGCTTTTCAAAAGAGGTGGCTGAATGAATCATGTTGTCATGGTCAGTGACTTGGTTTATTTGCATATTTTACCCAGACGACGTGGGGCATTGCTCTCAATATCAGTCACTGGTTTGTCTAGATTTTCAGTGACATTGCTAAGTGCACCATAAAGGACTTAACATGTTTAAAAAACCCAACAAACACACTAACCATGTGAATAGAGAATGCTACAAGAATAAAAATATGACTGAGTATATCCATATTGAGGCCACTGTTCATGCATCACACACATTGATAATCATGTTACAGTCAAGTCTCATTAATCCAACACTCGACAATCCGACAATCGCCTTTATCTGACACTTAGGATAGGAACCGATTAAATCAGTGCTATTTCGACCCGTTAATCCAACAGTCTCGCACTCCAACATACCTAGTTTGCAATGAATTACCGAAATCACTCATTAATCAGTCTCGTTAATCCGACACAGTGATCAGTGAACTCCATGGTCATCTGCCCACGAATACACTTCTGTGTTTTGATGTGAGACGAAACAACGAGTAGTTGCATATTTCAACGGCTGCAGAGATAAACTTGCTTAACAATAAACAATTACTGCTTAAATAAACAAAACAAAATTAATCACATGCTTCGATTACCTCAATCTCATAAAATGAGATACAAGTTCTCGCTACCGCTGAGAACATCTCATTACAAGTCACGTCAGAACGGCCTTTCGCGAACTTAGAGCAACCAATGAAATTACTGACTGGAAGTCAACAATAGCCACTAAGAAAGCAGCTTTCTTAAGCATTGTGGCACTAATTTCAAATTGGCTGCTTCCATTCCAGACTATGCTTTTAAAGTATTTTGAATCAGTCATACATTGTGTTAAACATTAGAGGTTGCATGATTAGAAAACATATTCCTGCTAACAATGTAACATAACAATATGGGACCGTCTACGTGGTCTAGTGGTAGAGCGTCCGCCCAGAGAGCAGAAGGTCCGGGGTTCGATCCCTGTGCGCGTCATACCAAAAGACGTTTAAAGATGGTACTTGTTGTTACCCTGTCTGGCGCTCGGCATTTAGGGGCTAAAACAAGGACTGGTCGACTCATCAGTATACTGTGTCTGAGTGGGGTATTCATGTTAAACTGCAGCATCGCATCTCAGTGAGCTAGCACTATAAATCGGCATCAGTCCTGACTAGTACAAGCAGCCACACAAACACACACACGTACATGACGGCGCTATATAAGTGCAATAATCTTGGACGCGACGTTAAACCCCATTTCACCTCACATAACAATATGAATATTGTCTATTTCCTGTTTTTTTTATTACAACTGATATCGTGTTTGAATCATTATCTATCGTGTAGCCGTCCGATTTTCGATCACGAACGTTTTCCTTTCCCTGACATACTCGTTAATCCGACATAATCACATGCAACCAACAATGTCGGATTAACGGGACTTGACTGTATATTGATATGAGATTTTGAATTTCTTCTCAAAGTTATTGGTATGACCCATCCTTCATTGTTCAGTGTATTATATCTCCATTCTATTATTATAACTACCATGGTCGCATTTGCTGCCACAGCTTCATTTCAGAAGTGATGTCACCAGCTCCATCTCTCTAATCACCAACTTTGCACAGAATGTTCCTCACTCACAAGGGGGCACGGGTGGCCCAGTTGTCTAAGGCTGTGCAGAGTTGCGTCCCTTGGGCACGCCAGAAACCTATGATTGTGGGTTCGAATCCCGGTTCGCCCCGATTATGTTTGTAGGTTTGTCAGCACCATACCCGTGCTCGTGGGTTTCACCGAAGTGGTAAACGTCTTAGACCTGCATCACTTGGGGCTTTCCTCCCACTTAGCTGACACGCTGCGATATAACTGGAATACTGTTAAAAGCGGCGTTAAACCCAACTCACTCACTCACTCCTCACTCACAAGCTTGAACATGTTGAAATCAACAACCAGTCAAAATACAATCCTTGACAGTTCAACATAGATCTCATTTCTGGTGTCCCCTGCCGAGATATGTTAAAAGCGCCATATAACCTCACTCACTCACTCACTCACTCAACAAAGATATAAATTTGCGGCAAAATTGCAGTTGTCTTTGGATAATGGGCCCTTGTTATATTAATTGCATCATAAGACCTTTGTAAATAAACTTTCCCAGAGTACTAAGCCTGCTAAGATAGGGGAGGAATGTGCTTTTGATTCAAGATGAACAGGTTGTAAATGAGAAGACACACAAAAGTCAAGTTCAGTACTGGTGATAGCATTGCTTGAATCAGTCATGAATCTGTTTTTAGCGCTGTGTTATTAGAACTGGACTCAATACAAAGCTATAGTGGCGAATGGGTCCAGGGTGTTTATGGTAATGGAAAGAAGATATGATACACTTGATCATTGAGGATGGCTATGATCTCAGTCTCCCAATACTTGAACCTGATTAACAAGAGCCTATTGTTATGAACTTCAGGGATCTGGCGGTGGTCCCTCTCAAGAGGAGCAGCAGCAAGCTCAGAAACAGGCACAGGATATGAAGAACTCCATCCTCAGTCAGGTGCTGGACCAGTCTGCCAGGACAAGATGTGAGCACAGGAACTTTACAGCTTTTAGACAAATTTTAGGCCAAATTAAATGTGGTAGTTAAGTGCCCCAATAAAATGGGGTAGTTGGGATCTTTTTCAAAAAGCAAACTTTTAACTATGAGAACTACTGCTGAGTTGACAATGGTTTGTGTATTTTGTCACGTGAGTGCCACTGAATAAAAATGTTTGGGTTGGCACCATTTATTAGCATCAATGGGGACATTCTGGTAATTGGAGCACCTTCATTTTTTCCAGGCCTTATATTTTATAATGTACCTTGGTGAACTGTGTATGATGTTGTTATGAGTCGAAAACACTGTGATGATAACTTACATGCTCATTTATGTGGAGTCCAGAAATTTTGCAGAAATCATATCAACAAAGTTGCCTACATCAACTTCTAAATTAAAAGGGGGCACGGGTGGCCCAGTCGTCTAAGGCGCCGCGATTCGCTGTGCAGAGTTGCGTCCCTTGGGCACGCCAGAAACCTATGATTGTGGGTTCGAATCCCGGTTCGCCCCGATTATGTTTCTAGGTTTGTCAGCACCATACCCGTGCTCGTGGGTTTCACCGGAGTGGTAAACGTCTTAGACATGCATCACTTCGGGCTTTCCTCCCACATTAAGCTGACACGCCGTGATATAACTGTAATACTGTTAAAAGCGGCGTTAAACCCAACTCACTCACTCACTCACTCTAAATTTAAAAAATGGCAAAGCGTAAAACATTTTCTCTTTACAATAAATTGTATATTTATATTTATATACTTATCCTGTCTCACACGCTATGTGCCCTACCATCCCTATGTCACAGTTACACCAGGCTATCCGCTTTAAGTAAGAGAATGATGTGGCAGGGTATGTCATGTGACCAGGTAGCTTGGAGTTGATTACAGGGAGTGCCTTGTTGTGTGACCCATTGTTAGGTGGTGACCATGGTGATGCTGGGTAATATTTGGGTGAAATGGGTTTTTTAAGCTGGAAACTTTATTCTAGGATGGTCGTCACATGGATCAAAACAAGAAGGAAGAAATGCATCATATGAGATTGTATATAAATATACAATTTATTGTATTGACCTTCTTTCAATAGATTAATACCCATAGCATCAGTTATTGTTTAAAAAATGTACTAGGATTCACCCAAGTAGAAAGCAGACATATTACTGGTACTATTCGTGACAACAGTCCGATTTGGAATCGATTTAGTGAGTGACAGTGAGGAAATCAGGGCTGGGACAAGTCCAAATTTTCTATGGGGTACCCACTTCCCTATTATCTGACCCTACCAATCGGGAAAAGTTTGACGTTAGCCCTGGCAAAATGTATTTAGATACATGTATAAAACAATCTGGTCATGCATACGCTGAAGTTGACTAAAATTTTATCTTTATTCAGACTATAAATAAGAAGGAATGGGTGCATAGTCAGAAAGAAATGTGAATGTAGTGACTTGTAGTGTAAGCATAGATAAGTTTTGTCAATAAACAATATATCATGTGACTAACCAAGGGTCCGGGTAGCCCTGTGGGTACTCTGGTCCTACTCAGTACCCACCCGACCCGAGAACCCGAGTTACCCATCCAAGCACTAGAGGAAATGTTTGTAACTTTTTGTGTGTATCTCTGAGCAGGTAAGAGTTTTTTTCCAACACAGTTGTATATGTGTTTCAGTAAACACGATAGCCGTGGCAAAACCTGAGAAGGCTCAGATGGTGGAGAACCTCCTTGTACAGATGACACGGACTGGACAAATACAAACTAAGGTGACCCGTGTAGAAAGCCTTGTCTGAAACCCATTTCTGAAGTTTGCAGAGTAACTAAGTTTGTTATTTATCAGTATACTGATATATCGTGATACTTTGGAGTGGATATTTCAATATGAATGACACCCTATACCACATGTGTGATACGTATGTTATGTTCCAGCTCGATGAGCATCAGCTGATTGGCCTGCTGGAGAAAGTGAGTGAACAGACCCAGAAGAAGACCACAGTCAAGGTGAGGGTCTTTCTTACCTAGTCAGACCACCTCCGTGGTCTAGTGGTAGAGCATCCCCCCTGGGGTTTGATCCCCGGCCGCGTCATACCATAAGACGTTAAAAGAGGGTACTTGTTGTTACCCTGTCTGGTGCTTAAGGGGCTAAAACAAGGACTCGTCGGCTCGGAGTCAGTATACTGTGTCTGAGTGGGGTATACATGTTAAACTGCAGCATGGTATCTCAGTGAGCTAGCACTATAAATCGGCATCAGTCTGGACTAGTGCACGCACGCACGCACGCACACACACACACTTATATCCAACAGTTTCTGTAAGCCACTAGTAAGTTGCATCAGTTTGTGAGTTGCATGGCAGGTGTCTAGCTTAGAAAAAAATGGACTTGCTGTAATAATTATGTGAAAATTACAGCACCCTCATTCTTAATTCTATTGCCTGGTGTTACAGACGTTTACCTAACTGAGAATACATTTGGGATTTTGTGAGATCATCATCTTGAGGCAAGGAAGTTAACTGACTATAAAAGTCCAATTTCCACCCTTGCCGAACTAGGCAGGAATTATTGAGTTTCATTTTGGCTGGACTATGAGTCCAATCAAGTCCAATCAAAATCGTGTAACAAAATCAGCATCCGGTTTGTAAACTGCCGTGAACTTAGTGTCAACAGATATTTTTCAAATCTTTTCATGTATTTAATCAAGATGCTCACATGATTTGATGCACTTCGCTAAACAAGACCCGTGCTATTACAATATAGATCTTGATTATCAATGAGATTGCCTTCACTGGGTGCTGCCATTTTGTTTGTTACAAATGCAAGTGATATCAGAGGTATAAACTGACTGGTCAACAGGAGGAACATAGAAGGGACATAACTCTAATAGCCACTGGTGGCGCTACGATCGAATGATTGCTTAGTTCGGCAAGGGTGGAAACTGGACTTTTACAGTCAGTTAACTCCCTTGCCTCGGGAAGATGTTGTGAGATAGGATACATATATAAATATACAATTTATTGTAAAATTTACAATAATGAATACCCAGGGTACCATAATATTATTTTTTACACAACATTAAATCCCATTTCACCTCACTTTATCAAAGTTTCACCCTAATTTTCTAAGATGTTCCTAATTGGGATTGACATCTCTCAGTAATGAATTATCCGTGTTAATTGCCTGCTTTCCTTACTTCAGTTTGACCGGCGACGGTGTCAGATGGATGATTCTGACGACGACATGTAGCGGAAGAGCTGTGCATACTTTGTGAACATCGTGACAGCAGCCCAGAGCACGCAAGATGGGACCTCGTCTGTGTTGAGGCAGCAAACTACCTGTGATATTCACAGGGCATTCTCATTGGACAGTTTGATTGTAGCCCCTGGAAACTGACCAGTGCTTCTCTGTTCCCCATTGATTGGACAATTAAATATCCATGGTAACCAGTATCAACCACATGTGAATTATGCAATGATAATGGATGGTTTACTATTGAACATATTGGAGCTCTGTGGTAGTTGTACCATATGATGATCTCCGGTAGTTTTCCTGGAAACCAATTTGCATTGTTTGAGCAGTATGAAAGTCAGCTGTCCTTTACCTGATGTTTAGATGTAAAATACTCAAAATTTAATTATTTCCATTTGTCCTTAATTTTGAAATGAATTGGGTTTGAACATTGTTGGAAGTGTGCCAGTTTCCATGCCAACTGCCTCAATCCATGGTTACGGACCCTGTACTATAGTTCCTGTTCATAATAAGTTCTTTTGTGGATGAATCCATTCTGCCAACACATGTGGAGGAGTCCATTCTGTCATCACAATTTTCTTCCATATATCCTGCTCTGTACCTGTAACAGCACTGCCATGTTGCCTGTCTAGTTGTATTTAAAAAAAACAATCTGTAGCTTGAAAACATGTACTCATAGCCATTACCTTGTCATTACTTCACAGGTATGTAACAATATGTACCTCCAACACCAACACACCACAATCGCCATTTTGAACTTTTAAGACAGCCTGGTTCCAGCGAGAGGGAATCTACCAAGTGCTCAGATTACATTGCACAAATGACAGCATCTCTCTATGTTAGCCATACAATCATCAGCTCTACACATTGCTTTTACACATCTATAAGGCAATGTAGGCAATGCAGGCTTCACACAAAGCTCTGTATGGAGTCGGGTTTGTTTGACTTTAATGAGTGATAAATAATGTCATTTCTTTAGCTGACTAAATATAGACATGTACTTCATTAAAACACAACAAAGCGGTAGTATAGACCTAAGACCTAAGACCTGGATTCGATTCCTGACATGGGTACAATGTGTGAAACCCTTTTCTGGTGTCCCCAGTCGTAATATTGCTGGAATATTGCTAAAAGCTGCATAAAATCAAACTCACTCACTCACTCGTTTGTCAGAAGCTTGAGGGGTGGACTATTGAGCATGTTGAGTGAACCCCCATCTCACTCATCTGCCTGGTCAACCAGGAGGCAGTGGCACCAGTTATTATACAAAACTCAATTTTATACCATTTATGCAAGGAATAGCTAACTCTATGGTGATTTTATAAAATTTAATAAACTCCAGATTCAGTATTGCAGGTAATGTTTTCGTTGGTTACCATGGTTATGCAATATATGACCTGGCTAAATAAGAACTTTACTCATGCAATAAATCACTTGTTTGTGTGGTTCAGATTTGATAATGAACGTGCAGCAGTGATGTAAAAAAACATTCACTTTTGTATTTCTCCTGTAAGTGTGTGACAAAGGATGTAGTTGCCATGATGACCATGGTTACCTATGTTATCTTTGTCAGTTCACAATATCCATCTTGTCTGTAGTATGTAGTTTCCTTAGCTGGTTTCAAATAGAAAATCATAAAGTGTATGGGGTATATCTGGCGAATGTGGAACATTTTATATATTTTCGTACATGATTTATGCATTTGACAATTGTTAATGGATAAAAACCTAACCGTTGTAGTAGTATCTTTGGAAATTAAAGGAAACCTTTTCTACCTGTAATTAGAAATACATCAATACCAGTTATTGATGGGGGTTGCCACTAGCTAAGTAGTACATGTGTTTGCTCATCACATCAAAGATCTGGGTTCGGTTCACCGCATGTGAAGCCAATTGATGGTGTCCCTGTCATTCTATTGCTGGAATATTGCTAAAAGTGGTGTGAAAAACATACTCAAGTAAATCTTTTAGTCTGCCAAACTATTTTAGAGAAACCTGATGACAGAAGCGAGTGGTACATATCTTGGATTGTCAGTAGTCTACCCGGTATCCATGTTTTTACATGTTATGTATGTGTGCCATTTCATTGCTTTGTATTGTTCGATGAAGTGATGTTACAGCCCAAATAAACATTCTTTATCATGTGCGTTGTCATGGTTACATGTACCAACAGAACATCAAGTGTCTTCATACAGATAGTTTGTGCCATCACTGAGAAATACTAAGCCAATCTCCCTTCCTTGGAAATGCAACCCTCGTTGGTCCGCAGCAACCTCTGCAGGTCGAAAGAGGTGACAAAATGCATCGGCTGGTTAGACTAGGTTTGTTTGTTTGTTTATTTGTTTGTTGCTTAACACCGCACTCAGCAATATTCCAGCTATATGATGGCGGTCTGTAAATATTTGAGTCTGGACCAGACAATCCAGTGATTGACATTGATCCACGCAATTGGGATATGATGACATGCATCAACCAAGCCAGTGAGCATGACCACCTGATCCTGTAGACTAGGTGACTTGGTTGATGGTGTGTCACTGCGCCATGATGTGGATCATTATTCACAATACCAGTCACTGGATTGTCTGGTCCAGATTCGATTTACAGGCTGGCATCATATTACTGGAATATTGCTGGGTGGGGCTGTGTACACACAAAACAAAACTGAACTGTGACAGCTGACTGTGAAACAGATATAGGAACTGTAGACTGAATCATTTGTCCCCCAGACAAAAACAACAACCACCATGCTTCAGTGCACCCAGTGAACTGATTTGTTTGTCTAGCGCGGTACAGCAATATTCCAGCGATATGATGGTGACCAGTAAATAGCTGAGTCTGAACCAGACAAACCAATGATTGATGTCAGGTTGTCAGTTTGTTGATACGCTATCACCCAAGTCACGTATGACCCTCACTACCCAATCCATCTTCTGATGACCAGCATTGGTTGCTGGGGACCATTCATTAATTCCAGATTCCCCTTGGGATGGTGAATATACAAAATAACCACCTGTTAGTTTATTACACATAAACTAGAACTTAATTGTATTTGTCATTTTTGTTTGTTTGTTTGTTGTTTAGCACTGCACTCAGCAATATTCCAGCTATATGACAGCGGTCTGTAAAATACGATGCGGATACGATGACATGCATCAACCAAGTCAGCAGGCCTGACCACCCAATCCCGTTAGTCGCATCTTACAACAAGCATAGTTGCCTCTCAAAGCAAGCATGGGTTGCTGAAGGCCAATTTTACCCCGGATTTTCACGCGTAGTCTGTTCTGTTGTAACTTACATTGGCCTACTGTGTAGATCTATAACTGTAAGTGATTCATTATTGCTTAAGCTGTCTGTTAATTTCCCAGTAATGTGGAAGTTGTTGCCAAGTTTAAAGGCTAACTTGGGCCAAGGGAAGGCCTGTTGCACCCTTGATGTATAGGTATAGTAGAGTTATGTCCCTTAGATACTCGATGCAGACTTTTGCAAGATGGTTTGAAAGCAAAAGACCACGGTGCAACTTTGTCCACAGGGAAATGTTGCACTTCTGTTGTAGGCACTCTAATTGTAACCTATGGCATCTTAACCTGTTGAAATATTCACATTCCCACTACCAATGTGTGGATTGCAGGTAGAATCGGCTGCAAGAGACCTATGCTTATTTCAAGATGCAACTAAATCGATCGGGTGGTCAGATTCGGTTGACTGCATGTCATCATTTCCTGATGTCTCGTAATGTTGCTCATGCTTTCTATCACTGGACTATCACTTTCTATGACTGTTATTCACAGGCTGTCGACATAGCTGGAATACTGCTAAGTGTGGAGCTATACCAACAAACATTTCAAAAATATCTCGTAGATGCCAAAACTATGCTGGATAGACAAGTAATGAAAGAAAACATCTTCACAGATATCACAGATGTTTATTAGTCATATAAAAATACTAGCCACGACGTACAAAGAGAAATGGCTGTCTCCTTTGTATAACATTGCATACAAAGTTAAATCAATGTACAAATTAGATGGAAAAATAGCAGAAATGTTTCAGTGAAAATTCATCTTTGTTTTTCAAATCTTGACAATACTGAATTGTTTGGGTGGGTACTGTTGATAAATTGGTAATGTTCCATTTTACCTACCGGTCCGTGGGGTAGCCTTGTGGTTAAAGCGTTTGCTCGTCACGCCGAAGACCCAGGTTCGATTCCCGACATGGGTACAATGTGTGAAGCTCATTGCTGGTGTCCCCTGCCGTGATATTGCTGGAATATTGCTAAAAGCGGCGTAAAACCATACTCACTCATTTCACCTACAGGAACCAATTCAAAAAGTAACCTAGAAACAAGACACCAAGAACTTACAGGTTGTCCCATGTTACTCATCAAAATACTCCTAGTTTCAAGCAAGGAAGTGACTAGACTTGTTACGATGTGGAGATAGGTGTGAGTGTCATTTATTCCCTCACGATTCCCTCCCCATCTAATTCTATATCATGGTATACACGGTCCTAGTTGGTTGGTACGCCAACTCCATTTGTAAGCGTACAAAACATTTGTACATTTGAAAGTTTTAGAGGTTGTCGTGTGTACTTTGTGTAAACGTGTTACAACACTATAACTAACTCATATGATGATATGTGTGTTCAACAAAACTTGATGGATCAATGTGCACTTGATTTTCATTCTCAGCTCCCTGGGAAGTATACAACACAAGCTTGCTGTAAGGCACTAGCAGGTTGACAGTCACATTACCGTCTCATCATGCTGTGTACCAAAGTCACTTAGGCTTAAGGAGACCGCGACCGGCTCCGTGGTCTAATGGTAGAGCGTCCACCCGGAGAGCGGAAGGTCCGGGGTTCAATCCCAAGCCGCGTCATACCAAAAGACGTTAAAAGATGGTACTTGTTGTTACCCTGTCTGGCGCTCGGCATTAAGGGGCTAAAACAAGGACTGGTCGGCTCGGAGTCAGTATACTGTGTCTGAGTGGGGTATTCATGTTAAACTGCGGCATGGTATCTCAGTGTGCTAGCACTATAAATAGGCATCAGTCCGGACTAGTACAAGCAGCCGCACACACACACACATGTGCATGCACGTAGCTATATAAGTGCAATAATCTTGGACGCGACGTTAAACCCCATTTCACCTCACCTTAAGGAGTCCGCACGTGTTACACATGTTTTAGTGTGGGGCAGGGCTGAAGCCCGGGAAACTCTCAAGAGTCAAGCAGCAGCCGTATCCAACTACTCTCCGCGACCAACGTTGCTGAACTTCACCTGACTTGTGACCTGTGTGCGGTATACACAGGACCCAAACCACAATGTAATAAAAAATGTCCACATAACATTTTTACAGCTTAAACAGAGTACTACTTGAATACCATACTTACATATGAGGTAAACATTATCACAGTTAATGCTTAATGAATAGGCTATGGTTACATTTGATACATCAATAATCAATAGCTGAATATCTTTGAGCAAGTTGTTTTTTGTATCAACCAATTGATCTACAATGGAAAGTACAGGATATGTTTGTATCACAGATGCTAATAAATATATAATAAATAACAATTCTAACAAATTCTATCTTACATACAACAAATTTTTGTACCAAAGGCATAGCCCAGTGGTTAAAGCGCTTTCTAACTTGAGGCCTGGGTTCAATTCCCACAGGGATATAACATGTGAAGTGCATTAATGATGTCTCCTGAAGTGATGTAACAGACTATGACTAAAAGTAGCATAAATCTCTATTCACACAAAGCTGATATAATACAGACAACTTATGGCGCATTTTTTTAAAAATCAACATGAACAGATTTGGATGTTGGTTTGAGAAAGTGCATATTATATGACATATTATAGCGGTTATATAGGAATATTTTAGTGGGAAGTAGCCAATGAAATCAATTAGCATAACTTTGGCCTATATAATGATTGTACTGCATATACAGAAGATTAAACACCTACAAGATACTGAAACCCACTTTCATCCCAGGACTTAACACATATACAAATACTGAGAGATACTTCCACCACAATAGGAGGGAGGTGGGGTAGTCCTGTGGTTCAAGTGCTTGGTCATCACGCTGTAGACCAGGGTCAGATTTCCAAGATTGGTACAATGTGTGATTCACATATCTGGTACCCCTCTGTAATGACAAGGCTGGAATATTGCTTAAAGCGGCCCCAAACCCAACTTGCTCACTCAACCACAACAACATCTATTCCGATTCTCCAATCTTGGTTCAAAATGTTCCATCAGTTGATCAGCAATGACCATCATGAAGCCAACTCTGTCGTAAGTCTTGAAGAACTTAGGCGCTATTATGGTCAAAGATCAACTCTGTCGTAAGTCTTGAAGAACTTAGGCGCTATTATGGTCAAAGATCAACTCTGTTGAAAGTTTGTGTACGAGTTTAGGAGCTGTAAGTTTCACAAGCTATGTCTGCTTGTTTGTTGTTTAACGCCGCACTCAGCAATATTCAAGCTGTGATGGTCGTCTGTAAATAATTGAATCTGGGCCAGACAATCTAGTGATTTACATCATGAGCATCGATGTACGCAATTGGGATACGATGATATCTGCCAACCACTCGATCCAATGAGTCATCTCTTCGGACAAGCATGGCTGGTTGGTTGGTTTGTTGTTTAACGCCGCATCAGCATTATTCCAGCTATATGACGCCGGTGTGAAAATAATCGAGTCTGGACCAGACAATCCAGTGATTAATATCATGAGCATCGATCCACGCAATTGGGATCGATGACATGCATCAACCAAGTCAGCGAGCCTGACCACCCGATCCCGTTAGTGGCCTCTTACGACAAGAATGGGTTGCTGAAGACCAATTCTAACGCGGATCTTCACGGGTCATGATGTCTGCTGGAAGTTTTTGAGTAAGCAATATCATTCACAGAGCTAAGGTCACCTTCTGGTACAGGCCTGTTCTCATGAAGTAACTCCTGGACATAGTACACTTGTAATATAATGAAGGCGTGATGGTGCAGTCAGCTCAATACAAGGCCTGAATCACCTGAATGTCAGACCCCATGCTGGATAAGGCAATGGGTCAACGGTTGAAATCCAACAGCAACTTGCATAACAGCAACTTGCATAACAGCAACTTGCATAACAGCAATATGG